TACCAAAAAATCCAATTAACAACAAAACCAAATCATAAGCAAGCAAAAGAGATGTACAAATAACAGACAATAATAAGCAAAAGAAAAAAATTATGAGCAATCTTGGCATATTGTCTGTACTTCAAATATTAAAAGAAAGGAGGAAAAACATTTCTTGTTCAAAGATAAAAAACAGGTGAACTTCAATCTCACGATTGCAGCTGCCATCTTGACTGTTGGACTCCATTCTGTGAACAACCTTGCTATTTTTATAACATAAATTCAGCACAGCCCTTTCTCAAGTCAATGACCGAGTCCTGGCTGAATTTATTTTATTTTCTTTGTGCTTATTGTCTTGAGCTGCTCCCATCTGTTGCATGAATTGGGGTAGAGCAGGTAGGTTATCTTGAGCTAGTCATTCCTTGTGTGGTGATTTTAAAAGTTAACTTCTCACACTTTCTTTCTCTATCCTCCCATATCCTTGCAGGATCACTGACATATCAAGTAATTAATTGCCAAAGATGCCTACCAGCAACAGCATATTGCTTGTCACTAAGTCAGTGCTTTGGTAAGTAAAGTTGGAATTTAAGGTAGTTCTCATTTCCCAACTGCAATTTGGACTCCATCACTAAGTGAAGCAGTTGTAAAGTAAAATGTCACATCAACATGCTGACTTACAACATCAGTTCCAGCTGCAGTGGTTGACCAAATCACAAATCAGGGTTATTAAGTGCAATGTCACATCACATGAGTGCGACTCTCAATTTCCTGCAGGTTGCTGGTTGAAAGCCAGTCATGAAGATCACCTGCAAATGTTTCAGAGAATGGTTGAAAAACAGGATTTGGTTCAAAGCCTGTTTGTGTGTCGCTTTGATCAGCAGAGGGCAGCACTTACAATTGTTTTGGGGACATAACCAGACTGCCATTTTAAAGTACTTTCCAATTGCATGTGATAGCAAAATAGCATGCCAGCATAAATTGCCCTGCCCTCACTGACAAGGCCTATTTTGCTTCAGTAATTAATCTACTGAGTTGTATTTATTATTTTAATGTGGAAGCCAATTCAATAAAGTAATTGGTGGATTCCCTTTTCTTTGTTTCCCTTTGCAACATTTCATCTCTGATAGCAAAAATAACCAGCAATTGCTCTCCTTAATGTATAGCGGAACAGGGCTGAGCTAGTGCAGATTAGCACTTATAAAATAGCTGGTAAAAATCACTTCTCAAATTGTCTAACAAACAAGTTACAGCTGAGAAATACTTTGTGCCTGTTACCTGTTAGTTGGGCTGCTTCTGAACATGATTCTAGCACTTTTCTGAAAGAGCCCTAAAAAGCCATGTCCAAAAGTAGCTTGACAGATCACAGATGCTAAGGAGGGGGGTGGGAGTGGGAAAGAACAAACAATAAAGAGCAAACCCTGTCATCTAGTGGCATTGAACAAAGGGAGTGTCAGGCCCAAAGAGGCCAAGAACACATGGAGTTACTTCTGAGTAGTTTCATTATTATTTCCCTATGGACAGAATCTTGCCAGACTAAAGCAACTATCTGCATAATTATAGATATACTCTGTGAACTGCTAGGCAGGAACAGTCCTTGCCATCTTCCTGCTGCCAGACATTCCCAGCTCTTTTGTCTCTTTGCTCTCTGCAAAGGAGCCCCTACCTCCTGCAACTCCAGACTACATCCCATCATTTGGAGTGACAGAATTCAAGTGTAGTTGGGGAGTAGGCAAAATGGCATATACAAAGGGGTGTTCTCCTCCATCAAAATCCCTTGATGGCAGAAGCAGCAAAAACTCATGATTACTACTGTAATTCTTAATAGAATCAACAACATACTGCATATCTGGCAAACTTTGGATCTTATTCCTGGTTGGAATTGACTTTTTAAGTAGCATAGCTCTCACCTTCACTAGACTTGTTTTTTAAACACAGGTCTCGTCCTCTTTCAAAACAGTACCAAACCCATATACTGTATTTTTTTTGGACTATAAGATGCTCCAGACTATAAGACGCACCTAGCTTTTGAGGAGGAAAACAAGAAAAAAAAATCTTCCTCTGCCTCCCAGCAATTTCCAGGCGGTGGAGATAGGCGGTGGGCCAAAAATGGATCGGGCCAAAAATGAGGTGAGCAGAGGCCAAAAACAGGGAGCGCAGAGGCGGCGATAGGTGGCAGCGGCAATGGCCAGTGATGGGCGGTAGTGATCCCCACAGCCTGGAACAGCTGATCAATGGTATTCCAGGAGGCAGATCCAACTGCCAATCAGCTGCTCATGCTAAATCAGGCTGTGCTGAAGCTGACCAGGCTGTTAGCTGTTTGCTGCAAGGAGGAAAATTGCTGGGAGGCAGAGGCTGAAGGGTGGGGGCCGGTGGGTGGGCGGGGCTTCAGCAACATTCGCTGTATAAGATGCACAGACATTTCCATCCTCTTGTTTGTGGGGGGGATGCATCTTATACGGCAAAAAATACGGGATGTCAAGAGCCTATGTAAGATTCACTGAGCTCCAGAAAATTCCAGTCAGCATAAGGGCAAATACCTCTGTGGAAATGTGGTTATATCAGACAGCCCAAGGCAAAATCATTTTAGGTGGGGTCATTTCAGGGAGAGAGGTGCTCCAGTAGTCTAAAGTTGGTAACTGTGGTTGAATCTCCAGGTAGAATGGAGGGAAGTGTTAAAAAGGGACTGAGTTTGGAGTCATTGCACTGCAGGAAGTGGCACAGGTTTGACCTTGCTGAACTACTATTCCCAGCACTGCTTACAATATTTTGTTTAGTGACCATTTGAAGTTACAACACTACTTATGACCATTTTTCACATGACTGTTGCGGCATTGCTATGGTTATGTGATCAAAATTCAGATATTTGGCAACTGACTCATATTTATGGCGGTTTCAGTATCCTGCAGTCATGTGATCATTTTTTTTGCAAACTTCTGTCAAGCAAAGTCAATGGGGAAGACAAATTCACTTAACACTAACTTACCAACTGAGTGATTCATTTAACCACTGTGACAAGAAAGGTCATAACATGGGGAAAAACCCATTTAATGACTGTCTTGCTTAGCAACAGAAAGTTTGGGCTCAATTGTAATCCTTTGTTAAGGACTACTTGTATGTACCTGATGTAGTTCTGCCACATTTGAAGGAGACCCAGATTATCTAATTATCTCCTACAGGTATGCATCCGATTCAGGTCAGAGAAACCTCTTCTGTTGCAGGCCTCCTGTCCTTGTTGCTTATTATTTAGATTAGCCTTTGTGTCTTGATGCAGGTTTCTTTTTTCTGGGGCTAAACTGAATGATGTGCTTTTGCAGAAATCTCTGCCTTCCTCTGAAGGGTAGAGAAGAAATAAATGAGGGTTGCTTGGAGTAGAAGTTTAGCCCTGGGAAGGAGAAGTGCTGTTTTGAACTCAAATCTGGTTTCTATATCTTTAGTTGATAGCCAAGACCGCCTAGCCCTTCGCTTCGGGAAACCATTGGTGGACCCAGACATCGCTCGGACTGGAGTTGCCATTGTCCTGTGTATGGGGGGAGTGTTGTTCCTGGTAATCATGGGCTCGTAAGTATTGCAAACAGCCTGCAGTCCCTTTAGAAAGCAATTTTTGATTTCAAAAATTTGCACCTCCCCCCTGCACGTCTGGCAAAGATGTTCCCAAAAACCACACAGAACTGTTGGAAATGTAAAACGCACAAAGGGACCTATTACCACATGTGGTGGTCATGCCCAAAGGTTAAAACATTCTGGAAAATGATCCAAAAACAGCTGGAAGAAATTACTACACAGAAAGTGCCTCTTCGACCAGAAACTTATTTATTAGGAATATTGACAAAAGACCACAAAAAAGAAATACAATATTTGATAATACACACATTCTTACAGCAGCCAGAATTACTTTCGCACAAATGTGGAAATTGGAAGATACGCCATCAGAAGAGAGAACAATACAAAAAACATTGGAATGTGCGGAGATGGACAGACTTACCAAAGAAATTCAAGAAAAAGAAGATTATTGGTTTGATTATTATTTGATTTGGCAAAAATGGTACAATTGATTAGAGAAAAAGAAGACGAAATAAGGGAATACCACTCAAGGACACAAAAATGAGGAACCAAAATTAATATCATTACATAAATATCGTTATATAATGAAGGATATCTATATATATAGATAGATATATGGATATACAAATTACCGATGTAGCTCCATTCACAAAGCTCAAGTTGCATGACTTGATTTTAGTGCACAGTTTGTTTATGTAGAGTTTGTTTTTATGTGTGTATGTTTGTATATGTATGTTTATCGTTAATAAAAAAAAAATAAAGCAATTTTTGATTTAAAGGTTTAAAATTTTCTTCCATACCAAAGGTGATACAAATTGTTGAGTCCTCACAGTTATGACTCCACCCACGCCTGCTCTGTTGCCGGCCATCGCGGATTGGTTAAGACGTGAGCAACCAAATTAGGGGGAAATCCCTGCTCACATATTGGTTCCTACCGTCTGACAGCTACTTGAATAGGGAGCTGTCAGATGGTAGGAACCAATACGCGAGAAAGGATTTCCCGCTAATTTGGTTGCTCGCTTCTTAACCAATCCGCAATGGCCAGCAACAGAGCAGGTGTGGGTGGAGTCGTAACTGTGAGGACTCAACACCCCTTTCCACCCGGACGGCGCACATGTAGTCTGCCAAATAACTACATCTCTTTGAGAGTCATTAATGCCGCCTTTCTCCTAGGATTATCGTGTACTGGAGAAGTCAGCTCTATCGGTATGTTTAGCTGAGATCTACCCTTTCCTCACTCCTAAGTGACAACTGCTGACTGAGATGCACTTATACCTTCAGAGTGTGAAGCCCATCACAACCTTCAAGACACGTTTGCTCACAGATTGGTATTCCCACATATTTTATCTTCTGATCCTCTTCCCTGTGCTTCCCCGTAATAAACACAAATCTCTTTGTGATTGCAAACTTATTCCATAGTGATTCTAGTCTGCTCAAAAAACGACAGATGATCTTCTCTGTACAAATCAATTTCTTTTATTCAGGCTTGTCAAGAATGAAGATCAAAGAATATTTTGAACGAAGAAAAGTTGCTGAAATGGCCTTCTGGCCTATATATGCATTTAATAAGCCAAAGATTTTAGCAGCATACGCTTCCTGTACTTGAAACACACCATGTACCTGGAAGTGAGGAAATGTGGTGAGGAGAGAGGGAGGATTCTTAGATCTGATGGACCTGAACTGAGTTCAAATCTACATATAATAAGAGACAAAGATGCTGGTAAATTATACTATACTGCTTTACAGGTCGTCCTCAACTTACAACTATTTGTTGTCACTGTACTAACTACAGTAGCATTGACATGATTGGTCCTCACATTTACATCACAATGTCCCCATGTTCATGTGATCAAAATTTGGGGGTTTGGCAACAGACATTTATTTACAACAGTTGCAAAGTCCTGGGATCATGTGATCACCCTTTGCAATATTCCCAGTCAGCTCCCAACAGGCAAAGTCAATGGGGGAAATCAGATTTACTTAACAACTGTGTGATTCACTTAACAACTGTGGTAAAATCTGGCACAACTCATTCAACAACCATCTTACTTAACAACAGAAATTCTGATCTCAATTGTGGTCATGGGTCGAGGACCCCCTGTATAAACAAATAAAGTAAATTACACAAATTCTTGACCAATAAAAAATAAAGGGAGAAAGGTTCCGTCCAAACCTTTCAGATTTCTGTTTGCTTTCTTTCTACCATATTTTCATATTGCTTACATATATCACAGGATGATCCTGCCCATCAACGTTATGGCCAAAAAGCATAACACAAGTTTACACATCAGGGAACGTGACAGAATAATCATACCTATGAAGGTATTCCTATTCTTTTTCTACAATGTTTTTCAACCTTGGCAGCTTTAAGATCTGTGGACTTCAAGTCCCAGCATTCATGTTGACTAGGGAATTCTGGGAGCTGAAATCCATATGTCTTAAAGCTGCCAAAATTGAGAAAATGTGCTTTGGAACTCTTGCTTTTTTACTTTTTTTTAAAGATCAGGGTTTTTATTTTATAAATTTTAATTCTGTGCTTGTACAGAAACTTTTCCAGCAATGCATGGAATAGGGAAGAGTGTCCAGATCCTTTAAGGAGATAAACATAATCACCAGATTTACAAGAAAATCCATTTCACTAACATCCTTTGATTTCTTTAGGAATAAAGGTAAGTAAGGGGAATTAATTTAATGATTGTATTCCTAATCATTTGGGAAAATTCATAGGACTTGGGGTGTTTACTCACACAAGTATGATTGAGGTTGTTATCACTGACTCGCAAACAAGGAACACATAAAGAACGATTTCATTGTATTCTGCAAGACGTTTGTCTTCCACTGAAGAAGAGAAAATCTTTTTTAGCTTTTTGTTAACAAGCTCAGCATGGAAGCAAGGACTCTTCACAGTCAGTGAATATTGGGGTCGCTTAATATTTTTTGATTAGATCATAACTTGATGGGCTCACTTTTCAAGCCATAAGCAGCTTCCATCACAAAAACTGTGATGGAACAGTGATGGACTCTTTGTTTTAGAGTCTTGTGTGAACCCACATAAAATTTAATGCTGGGATAGAGTATCTTTCTGTCCCATCAGTATATTGGTCCAATTGCCTAAAAAGGGCATCTTTAAATGGGAGCAAGAAGGGAGGAGTACGGGTAGAACCTGACTTATAATTGGGGATTTAGTGAGGAACTAAAGGCGAGGGCGAGGAACATCGGACAAGTATACAATTAGAAGAATGGGAAAGAGCGTGGGAAAATAATTATACCATGACAAAATCGGTAGCCTACAAAGAAAATCATTATAAAATGTGGTATCGATGATATCTGGCCCCCGCACAGTTAGCAAAAATGTACCCAAATGTAAATCCGACCTGTTGGAAGTGTAAAAAAGCACAGGGAACTTTTTATCACGCTTGGTGGCTCTGCCCAGAAATTAAGAAATATTGGAACAAGATCAAAACATGGATAGCAAAAATAACAGATTATGAAATTGAATTAGAACCTGAAATTTTTTTATTAGGTATGATCAAAAAGAACATTAGGAATGACATAAAATATTTAATACTTCACATAATAACAGCGGCTAGACTAGCAGTAGCACAACTTTGGAAAACAAATAGATTGCCAACTGATCAGGAGCTAATACAAAAGATATACACATGTGCAGAAATGGACAAATTAACCTTAGAGTTACAGGATAAGGAGGACTCAAAATATTTTATAATATGGAATAGATGGTACCAGTGGATAAATCAGAGGAGGCCAAATGGGTTGAGATGAAATTTAGAGGAAATTATCATAATTAAAAAAAATGCACTGTCAGATAGATAGAAAATGAAATATGTCACTGTAGGTTTGTATATATGTATATATAATAATAGAAATTAGTTAGTAGTTGAAGTTGCTTATTGTATATGTATATGCAAATTTGTTTCTTGATTAAGTTAACTTTTAACTTAATCAAGCTTTTGTATGTTTTAAATGTTTTTTTTAAGAATGAATAAAGTTTTGCTTTTTTAAAAAAAAAAAAATTGGGGATTTAGTGATTGTTTGAAGTTAAGATGGACCTATTTTAGGGATAGCCTTCAATCCTTCCGAGGTCGGTAAAATGAGATCCCAGATTGTTGGGGGCAATATACCACACTGTAAACCACACTGTAAAAAACATTCTTTAATCTTTAACAGATTAAAGAAGCTTGCTAACTTTTATGGCTAATAATATGTTAACATATCTGGAGAGGGGAAGACTTTCAAAAGGCAATGAGTTGAGACACAGAATAAATAAAAAATCACCCTTCCCTTTCTCCATCCATACCTCCACAGACTTCTCCATCAAAACACTGTGTGGTGATACGCAGGCATGTCCAGCAGTCCAGAATAGGTCCTTCTATCACTGCTGCAAAAGAAGAATGTCAGGGTTGGCTTCAAAAAAGCAATCCTCAAAGCATCCATCCTCTAAGTCAGTGTTTCCCAACCTTAGCTACTTGTGTGGACAGCATGGCTGGCTGAGGAATTCTGGGAGTTGAAGTCCACACAGCTTCAAGTGGCCAAGGTTGGGAAACACTAAACTAGTGTACGTAGTAAATAACTGAAGAAATAAGGGTTGAAACTTGTCTGATACTTACTGCAGTCCTCTGAACAAGCTAGAAGGTGCAAAGAAAAAGAAAAAAGGATTATTTTAGAGACTGAAAACTCTAAGAGACTTTTTCCTAGCAAATACATAGTTGAATCACATGACCAGAGGTACAGAACGTTATGTAAGCAAGAAATTCAACAATACAGGATCAAGACAGTGGCCATGGGATGTCTCATAGGTCTCCAAGGGACAATTTTGATATTGGCATCTTCTAAATAAAATTAATATATTTCGAATGGGTGAATGCAAACCTAAGCTAGAGTACTAAGGAAGGGCACTGAATGATATATGGGATATTTTGGATTTTGGACAGAAATAAACTCCCAACTCTTCCCTACCCCCTCCAGGATACTGAGGAACCCTACATGAATCTTGCTTCATTGATGACAAAGGTCCACAATTTCCATAAGGAAAAAGCCACATTTCTTTCTGCCACCAAAAAAAAAAAAAAAAAAAGAGTAAAATTCAAGATGGCAACTACAGTTACAGACATCATTTGAACTTCTTCAACATACGTCCACTGACCCCTGGCAGATACCCCCCGTTTCCTGCCATGATAGTATCAAGGAACTCTGAGAAGGGAGGATGGGTCCAAAAGGACACACAAGACATGTTGGGAAAGGAAGCACCTTTTCCAACATGCCTTTAAAGACCAATCAGGGTTTGAATGGAGCTGTCTTCTGCTTGTCTTCTGCTTGGGTTTTCCCCATCTCCTGTGCTGCAAATGCTCTTTATACTTTTACCTAACTATAGATTTGGAGATACCTTTTTTCACAATCCGACATGGCTAAGAGGCTTATTTTTGGAGTCCCCCTACTGGTACATCATCCCATTTAATCTGGAATACTTAGTACCGTATCAAAATAGATATTCATAAAGCAGTGTTTTCCAATCATGGAACCTGGGAATTGGAACCCACACATCTTAAAGATGCCGAGGTTGGAAAACACTATCATAGAGTTATTAAATTTGCAAGTGTGTGTGTGTATGTATACACATATATGTGATGGAAGTTTTGCCCCTCTTTTTTCATTCTTCAGAATTGGTACCAAGATCAGCAAATTCTTCCAGAATCTGGTGAATCTTCTTTCTCAGGGAAAAGCGTAGCTGGTACATAGAGAGCTGCCACAGAAAAACTCCTAAGAGGAAGGTAGAAGAGGGGAAAAATGGAAGAGAAGATGATTCTGAGTAAAACTGGGTTGGTGAAGATTAAAAAGCACAGTAGAATAAAATATTTGTAGCTCAACATGGTTGGCCTGTGGGGTCCTTGGTGCTCTCTGAGCTTGGCTGTTTTCTTGCAGATGATGTTACCTAGTTGGATAATGGAACATCTGCAAGAAAACAACCAAGCTCAGAGAGCACTGAAGACCCCACAGATTCAGAAGTGTTCCACATCTTATGTGATGTAGATCTCTTTTATTAAAACAGCCTGTCTTTGAACTGGGATGGAGGAAGATGTTTTTGTGGCCTCAAACCATAAATCAGTAAAGCAAGCAGATGGTGCTGCTTCAAGGAATTCAATCCCAGAACTTAACACAACTCTTAAACCAATGGCATCTTTTGCTATGTTTGTGTAGAAGTCTGAGGAAAAACCCAGCTGCTTTAATAAGAGAGAGGTGCTTCCTTCAGGATAGCCCTGAAGCTCTTCTGAATGACTTTTGATTCAGGCATAGCCTTTTCAATTCAGATTCCTTCTAGATCGGTTCTAATTTTATTATGACCACTCTCAGATAAGAGTTGGAGGGAAAATACTCTCTCCAGCAAGACTATTGAACATAGGTGTGCTGTGCAGTGGAGGACTTACAAACTAAATTCATTTTCAGCGGAATAGTTTTTGCCAGTTGATGTGGGGAGAAGGGGTGAAATCAATAACATGAACAGGTGTATTAAATATCTACTTGGCTCCATCGCCAACATCTACTTGGCTTTATTGGCCTGCAGAGAGCTGCAGGAGGCATCCATCCGCGGAGGAGAAGTACAATGCTGATCCGGCCCTCAAAGAAATCCAGTTTGAAACCCCTGGATTTCTTTGAGGACTGGATCAGCATTGTACTTCTCCTCTGTGGACGGACGCCTCCTGCAGCTCCCTACGGGCCAAAATGGGGCATGGGGGTATGTGCATGGCCCTCCGTGGCCCGTTCTCAGCTTGGACGGCCTCCTGCAGCACTTTGCCAGCCAAAATGGGGTGCGGGCTGGTCCTTTGCTATTTCCAGGCCTGCCCCGCGGGCCAGATTTAAACACCTTGTGGGCCAGATCCAACCTGCACGCCTTGAGTTTGACACCCGTACTGTATTTGAATCCATTTGTTTAATGGAGGCAATGTCTGAGGCCACAAGATTTAAGACAAGGTTAAGAGTGGAATTTTCCTAGTGACTTCAAGTTTCCAACATCCCTCACTAGTGACAGGTTGATTTGTATCTGCCAGAAAATGTAACGCAGCAGTATAGATGGTGACTTCCTTCTCACCACCTTAAGGCGTGAAAGCCAGCCTGATGACTTCGGACCAATCACCAGGAGACTGTGAGTTCTAATCCTGCCTCAGGCACAAAAGCTGGTTGAATGACTTTGGGCTGGTCACCTTCAGTCCAACCTACCTCACAGGATTGTTGTTGTGGGAAAAATAGAAGGAAGGTGTACCAGGTATCTTTAGCACCTTGAGTGATTTATAAAAATAATAAAGGCAGGAAATATATATATATTATAAATATTATAAATAATATATAAATGTGTGTGTGTATGTGTGTGTGTGTGTGTATTAAGTGTTTTTCTATCGAAGTACCTGGTCTACCCCAATATGGGAGAGAACAATATCTGAGTTCGAATCCAAGTAAGGATATGGCTAGCTGATGAGAGCTAAATAGCTTGAAATAGATCTATACTAGTCTCCCTTTATTTCTTTATCAGTTTCCCTGAAAATAAGACCCTGTCTTATATTTTTTTGAACCCCGAAATAAGCGCTTGGCCTTATTTTCGGGGAGGTCTTATTATTTTGGGGCACGTGGAGCAAGATGGGGCTCCTCTTGCCATCTTACCTGATTTCCAGCTCTGCGTTTAAATATTTTCAGGGAGGGCTTATTTTCAGGGGGGGCTTATTTTAGCGCATGCCCTCAAAACTCCGATTGGCCTTATTATCAGGGGATGTCTTATTTAGTGATTTCATTTATAGAGATAATTAACAGGGGATTATTTCCTGAAGGCAGATTATAACCACGAACCACACTTGGTTGCAATCCCTACCCAAGTTTCTTCTTGCTCACCTTTCCACTGCTTTTGTTTGATGGCTTTTAACTGGTTAATAATGTGTAATTTGATCTCGAACGCTCCTCGGACATCTGCAAAAAGACATTCACATGACATTCACAGATGTCACCCTGTAGTCTTGCCCTAATCTCCACCCTTCCCAGCCTTGAAGTTTATTCGCCTTCTGGTCGCACCTATAATTCGCTCATAATTCCTCCGAAGGAAGGTGCTATGTAAATCTGCCAAGGCTTGGATGTGCCGTGTGATCAGGGAATCACGGTTTGGAAGGTCACCTGGCAGGGTTTCCTTCAGCAGAGTCAGCACCCATTTCAAGAAACGGGGGTCACACTGAAGACAGCTGGCCACCCCCTGGAAGGATAAACTCCATAAGAAGCAAGCCAGCAGAATCTGGAGCACCATGACATGGCCAACAGTTTACAGGATTGCAAACTGTAACCAAGGCAACCTCTTTCCTGAAGTCTGCAATCGCAGGAGAAAGTCTACCTCCATGACCCAGGGAAACGTTGCCAAGGAGAAAGAACAAATCACTAGGCAGTGGGTGTGAGCATTTGTGATGCTAGGAATAGAACAGGAAGTGATGTTCGATGCTGCATAAAGCCATTGCTGATGTCACCTTGGCACAGGAAGTGCTGTTTATGATTTCTGGTTCTCATGGCTACAGCCTCTCTGCTCGGATTACTTCTATGGGCTGCCCCCGTGAAACTGGCTGGTACCTGCCTCCGTTGCTGGCCAGATGCTGCTGCATATTTTATTTACGATGCTAACTTGCTGCTGCAAAAGGATTCAGCAGCCTCTGATCAGCTGGGGACACTTTTCCTGGGAAATGTTAAAGAGCTTGCTTCGTATGGCAGTGGATATTTGGGTATATAAAATTAAGGGAAGAATTGAGCAGGGTTGCCTCTGATAGGAACTTCTGATGTGTGTGAAATGCCCATTTCTGAATCACAGACTGTGCCTAGCTGAGACACAAACTCTGTTTTTGATGTCTGTTTTGTGCTAGAGCCTGAATTTGAGAAAATTATTGGTGATTTCACTAAAAATGTGTATGACTTGGAAAAAAAAAAGAAACAAGTTTTCATTTTTAAAAGCGTAACACAAAATCTGTTTGCTAATTCACTCCAATGAAGGACTCAGGCAGGGAATGCTTCATGAAGAACCATTGCTCTATGCATATTCCAGATGTTCGAAAATGCATTCTTTGAAATTGGCAACAAAACAAAACAAACATCCCAAAGCTTTTCATGTGCCTCAGATGATCTGGGCGTGTCATAGAAAATATTGAAAACTCTCTGCAATGATTGAGAAAACAGGGACCCTTTTCAGATAAAATAAAACAGAAAAAGATCTCTCCGTTAAATATATAATCCTACATGGATGCAAAGTATGTTTGTGTTAGTTTAGTTCTGGGTGTAGCATGAGTGAATAATACACAAGTTGAATGACCTTCATCAGCTTGGCATCCTTTAATGTGTTTGGCCATGCTGGCTGAGAATACTAGTAGGCATTGCAATCCTAGTGATTTTTAAGAGTGTTAAATTGGAAAATGCTCCATCAAGTAGTAGGATAAGTTCTTAGTTAGTCCTGGTCACTTTTGACAGAGTGGAAGAGTGCGCTTGGAAGATCTGATAAAACAAGTTTCCACAAATATAATCTTGTGTGTCTCTTTCTGTCTGCAGAACGAGAACATATGGAACGGGAGGCTGGCAATCTCTTTCATCATCTCGAACTAATTATACAGAAAAGTCAAACAAGTAGGAACTGAATTATCATTTTCCTTCTACAAATTGCTTGTGATCTCATGCTATTATAGTATCTCCTAACACAGTGATGGCAAATCTTTTCAGCACTGGGTGCACAAACTGGAACATGCATGCATGTATGTGCGTGCGCTGGAGCACCAGAAACCCAAAGACCAGCTGGCCGGTGCACGCATGCCTGTTTTTTGGCCATTTTCAGGTCGTTTTGGGGCCATTTTCAGGCTCAAAAAATGGCATTTGTGCACCAGAAACCAGAAGAGCAACTGGTGATGGCGTGCATACCCACAGAGGGGACTCTGTGTGCCACCTCTGGCACGCATGCCATAGGTTCGTCATCACAGTCCTAACACACGGCTGTCTGGGGAATTCTGGGAGTTGAAGTCCACACATCTTACAGTTGCCAAGGTTGAAAAACATCGCCTAACATCTTCTGACTGTCAAGAAATGTGTCTCTGTTTCAAGAAAATTAATTTGGTATTTCATATATTTTTCTTCAATCAGAAGTATACAAGTCCATCCTGTGTGCAGCTATCCCCAAGAGTCTCCAGTCATGTAACTAAAATATACTGTAGTAACAAAATGGCCTGGTTTTCAAGATTTGAGGAGCTTTTACAGCTAGTCCTCCACTGACGTCTGATCACTCAGAGGTCATTCAAAGTTACAATGCCTGCCCTGCCCTCTCCCCTCAGAATGCATGTAATTGCATTCTGAGCATTCGACAACTGGCCCTCATTTATGGCCATTTGTAGCGTCCCACGGTTATGTGACCATAATTTACGTTTTTTGTCAAAAACCAGCATTCACTTCTGGTTTCCAGCAAAAAGCACCTGTTGCGGACAATGAATTTACTTAACAACCACAGCATTCACTTAACAACTATCATGTTCGTTTTACAACCAGCATACCTACTTAATGACCACTACTACAAAAAAGGTTATAATATCAGGCATTGTTATGTGACTTGTTTAACAACTGGCATGATTTAATGACTGTAATTCCAGGCTCCACAATCACAGTTGTAAGTTGAGGACTACTTGTAAAAGAATGGGAATAAGTTGCCACTGAGAGATCTACAGCCATCCTCACTCTTAAATCTCACTCTAACATAGATTTATATATTTTGCTCATCAGAATGGAGATTATCCATTCTGGCGAGCAAAATATATAAATCTGTGTTAGGGTGAGAATGGAGATTATCCATTCTGGAGCCATTGCTGAATGTCCCCTTTTGGTCTTTCAAAAAGTGAAGATACTTAATTATGGCTTCCAACTCTTAAATATTATTCATCCCTTAATTAAACTCATACACAATGTTCATTTTTTTTGGTGGGCAAAATTTTAACAAATGCAATTAAGAATTCTGTAGAAATTCGCAGTCATCCAAGTCATGGTTGTCCCAAAAGTGCTTTTTTCAGGAGGCAACTGGATTTTCTTGTTCTTTCTTTGAAGACATCTCATTTCTCATCCAAGAAGCTTCTTCAGCTCTGACAGGATAGTGGGGAATGGAAGGATTTATATTCCTTGCAGACAGCTGGTCATTTGCATCCTTTTAGAGCAGTGATGGCTAACCTTTTCCGGACCGAGAGCCCGAAACAGGGGTGGGTTCTACTTACCTTTACTACCGGTTCGCACAGGGCCGCACGCTCTTCTGCGCTTGCGCAGAAGCGTTTTGGTGACATCGGGGTCGGTGGATGGGGCCTCACACCGGTTTTACTACCCCACATGCGCGGCAGAGACCTGATGACAAGATGGCTGGTGGGAGGCGCCCATGGTGGAGCTGAACTGGGGCAACAGCTCGCATGCCCACAGAGAGGGCACTACATGCCACCTGTGGCACGCGTGCCATAGGTTCGCCATCATGGTTTTAGGATCCTTGAAGCACTTGGAGGTTTATCTGTGTCCTTAGGGCCACCTGAGTAGTGCTCCTGGTTCCTGTAGTCTACAATTTTTCCTCTGGAAATCCATTCCTACTCCCACACCATTCAAAGGATGTTCATTCCAAATTGTATAGCTAAAAGTCAACTTTCAGAACCAGGAGAGCTACTCAGGTGACCTTAAGGATATAGATAAACTTCCAAATGCTTCAACGACCCTCTAAAAGAATGGAAATGATCAGCTGTCTGCAAGGAATATAAACCCCTCCATTCCCCACCATCCAGTCAGAGCTGAAGAAGCTCCTTGGATGAGAAGTGAAATGTCTTCAAAAGAAAAAACAAGAAAGTCCAGTTGCCTCCTGAAAAAGCACCTTTGGGACAATTAAGAATTGTATTAATAACAAACCAATGCAATTAAGAATTACATTGAATTCTCATTCCAGTTAGAATTTTAGATCTTCTAGATCAGGAGTGATCAAATTCCAACCACTACTTTGTTAATCTAAGCAAAACATTAATTGCCTCCTATCACAGGTAATTTATTAATGAAAAATCAAATTGTCCTTTCAAGAAATTGTAATAAACTCTTGTAGAATGTAGAGGTAAAAGGTCGTGGTGCCAGGCTGAGTGCAGCACACACCTTGGCTCAGACGCTATGAATCTTGCCTGCTTGTATGATCTCATTCTGGCTCTGATCTGCATTATCTCACCTTGCCTTCTTCACCAGGATGATGGCATTTTAAGAGGGGGGTGAATAGTTTCTACCAATTAAAACACTGTTGCTGGTTTGCCTTTTCTGCTTGTAAAAAACTATATAAAAAAGCAATAAATGCTGCGAAGGGGAGAGAGATATCTTCGCACAGAGCAAATGCCTGGACCCTGATTTCTACGGTAGAAGACTTGATTTATCCATTGTTTGCACTATGTTCCCACAGTCTGAAGCAGCTGCTCCTTCCTCTATATCTCAAAAGTCTTGGCCTCTGTTGTCCCCTTTCTTTATACCAAAAGATCATGAAGTCCTGATGAAGGAGGCAGAGATGGAAAAAGCAGACTTTATCAAGCGTTTGGAAGAAGCATCTAATCTTTTTGTGAAGGAAAGTAGGTGCCTTTTCTTTTTCCTCCTCACAAATTCTTCCATTTCTGTTCATTCAGAAAGCAGTCACAACAGAGGTGTTATTCAGCTAGTTTGGACCAGTTCACCTGAACCAGTAGCGGAAATTGCGGGTGGGGGCTCTATGCCATCTTATTTAGGCACATTTTTGAGGCTAGGTGCGTGCGCGGATGGCACGCGAGCTAGCAAAATACATGCATGGAAGGCTGGGTGCATGCATGGATGGGGCATGTGCGAGCGGAATGAGCGAACACGCGCGTGCGCTCACATTTGCAAACCGGTAGAGAGGGTAAGTGAAGACCACCCCTGAGTCACATCCTGAGTCAGATCATTGATCCTTCTAATAGAAAACTATCATCATGGGAAGAACAAGTTTTTTAAAACATTAGTCAAGCTACAAGATCTAGCTTGTACAAGATCTTCGAGAATACAGATGACTGCAAGATGGATAAAATAGATCCCTTATGATACCCATTCTTTGCATCAACTCAGCTCTGAGGGGAAATTGTTTTTAAAGCTTTTGAGGAATTAAAACATTTGCATTTGTGCTTCTTGGTAGGATGCTCAACTGAAGACCTTGTTACTCAGCAGAGTTAGTCCAGATGCAATTACTGCATATGAAATTCCAGTGTAGTTTGATGAGAGCCAGTTTGATCTAGTGCAGTGATGGGTAACCTTTTTGCTGTTGCATGCCAAAAGTGGGGATCATTTGGCGGGGTCACACTCACGTGTGCCCATACCCATAATGCAATGCCTCCCCCCCCGCACTACCCCCGCTTTTGGCACGTGATGGCCCGGTGGGTCCGGTAGACCCATTTTTCGCCCTCCCCAGGCTCCAGAGGCTTTCTTGGAGCCTGGGGAGGGTGAAAACGGCCCATTTCCCGACTTCAGGTGGGCCCGGAAGGCCCAAAAATTAGCTGGCCGGCGCACATATGCACGTTGGAGCTGAGTAGGGCAATGCTCATGTGCCCACAGATATGGTTCCACGTGCCACCTGTGGCACCCGTTCCATAGGTTCGGCATCACAGGTCTAGTGGTTAAGGCAGGACTAGAATGCCAGTCCCTCTCTCTCAGCCCAACTCACCTCACAAGGTTGTTGTGAGGAATCCAGGAGAAATGATTATTGGTTATGTTTGCTGCTATGGGTTATTTATAAAAATAAAGGCAAGGTATAAGCAAACAAACAAATAATAGTTTGCAGTTCTGGAGGAATTATCTATGGCTCTAAGGTCAACACCTTCTCAATAGGTTGTTTATCAATAAACAGAATTGCTTTTAATTCTGTGGTCCTGTTGGTCTTCTGTCCCAGGATAATGTTGCAGGATCCAATCTAAGTCGGTCACTGGTACCAGAGATTTATTTTTCAAAGTTTTCAGACTTGTGCTGGAGCCCATCCTCAGGGAACTTCTCCCTCTCCAGAATGTGTGCACTGGGCTGTTCTATGCATACTATTTATGTGGTACTTGGTTTTGTGTTGCTTTTAGAGAATCCCAAAGATGCTTTTTTCAAGAGGCAACTGCACTTTCTGGTTTTTCTTTGAAGGCTGTTCAACAGCCCTCTCTCAACAGAAGGGGCGGGATAGACATCATCTATCTCCAATCTACAACACAGTCCTTTCAACAGTTCCAAGAAGGCTCCACACCTATTTTGCACCACTCAGGTGACCCTGATGACACAGATAAACTTCCAGGTGACCTTAAAAACCTGCTAAAAGAATGCAAATGACCAGCTTTCTGCAAGGAGTATAAATCCTTCCATTCCCCACCATCCAGTCAGAGCGGAAGAAACTTCTTGGATGAGAAGCGAAAATCAGAAAGTCCAGTTGCCTCTTGAAAAAAGCACCTTTGGGACAACCATGACTGAGAATCTCCATAGGCATTTAGACTAGACTAGACTAGACTAGGAATAGGAAACCCTAACCAGTTCAGACAAATGGTTATCCAACATCTTCTTAAAAAATTCCAGTGTTGGAGCATTCACAACTTCTGGTTGCTTTTAGAGAAGTTCCTGAGAATGGGCTTCAGCACGAGTCCAAAAGCTTGGTGGTGGTCCTGGCGACTGACTCAGATTGGATCTTGGCCTTCTACTAGTGGTGAAATCCAATTTTTTTTACTACCGGTTCTGTGGGTGTGGCTTGGTAGGGTGGCAGGGGAAGGATACTGCAAAATCTCCATTCCCACCTCACTCTGGGGCCAGCCAGAGTGGTTCTTTGCTGGTTCTCTGAACGGCTCAAAATTTCTGCTACTGGTTCTCCAGAACTGTCAGAACCTGCTGGATTTCACCCCTGCCTTCTACTGTCATTATATGTATTTGTGGTTTTTATTCATTTGAATACCAACATGATTAAAAAAAAAAAACAATGTATGGCAGGAATGTTGTCTTTCTGCCGCCATATAGTGGCCACTTGGAATGTGATAGCTCAGATCTGATAGCCTTACAGAGTTTCCCCCCTCTGCCTCAACCTAGAGCTGTGATGGCGAACCTTTGGCACGCATGCCACACGTGGCACACAGAGCCCTCTCTGCCATCACCCCAGCCCAGTTCCACCATGCGTGCACGCATGCCTCCTGCTGGCCAGCTGGTCTTTGGGTCTGCCGCTCGTGCCCCGTTTTGGGCCTGGAAGGCCTCCTGCACCAACCTGGAAGCCAAAATGGGGCATGTGGGGGGAAGGCACGGCGTATGTATGTGGGGGTGGGGTGCATGCACAGGGGGTGCTCGTATTGCATTTTGGGGGTTCATGCATGCACGCATGTGCTTTGGGCATTTGGCACCAAAAAGGTTAACCATCACTGCCCTAGAGCTTTTCCAGTTGTGATTCCCAACAATACAAAAAATGTGTCTGACCTCAAAAGTAGCTGTTTGGGAATAGAAAAGTCTCTTTTGTGGCCAGTTTTGACTGACTTTATGGGCATATGAAGGGAAATGTTTGAATCTTCCAGGTTTTTTTTTTCTTGTTAATGTTTACATTGGAGTTGAGTTGATCAACCCTTCAAAAAATTGAATTGTCCTTTTTAAATCAGGACAAGTAGCCACTGCACAGAAGAATCTAATGTTTCTTAGGATACAGTTAAGCTAATTTAAAAAGTCCCCCATTCTCCGAAAAGATCAAATTAGACATTAGAACCAGAGAAATACTTTATCTCACTGTTCTGTTCAGAACAGAAAAAGTTCCTTCTGGAGGAATTAATAGGATTCAAGAAACAATATTTGTCTTAAGGAAGTTGATTTAATTTTTTCATTGACAACTCCCTTCTCCGAATCAAGAAGCCACATACATTGTATAAAACTTGTGAAACAGCCTTTTTCTGTTTGGCTAGCTTGAAAAATAAATACAAAGCCAGTTGTTTAGGAAAATTAAAATAGAAGCAGTATATGTGATGGCTAGAAGAGTTGGCAGTGGACTATTCAGTTGCAGTCCACAGATCTTATAGTTGATAAAGGTTGAGAAATACTGATTTAGAGCAATGGAACATGCCAACAGAGCAGTGGTGGGTTTTAAATTGTTTTTACTACTGGTTCTGTGGACGTGGCTTGGTGGCCGTGGCATGTCTTGGTGGGCGTGGCTTGGTGGTGTGGAAGGGGAAGGATACTGTAAAATCTCCATTCTCACCCCATTCCAGGGGCAGAATACTGCAAAAACCCCATTTCCTCCCGATCAGCTGGGACTTGGGAGGCAGAGAATAGATGGGGGCGGAGCCAGTCAGAATTTTTACTACCGGTTCTCCAGACTACTCAAAATTTCCGCTACCGGTTCTCCAGAACTGGTCAGAACCTGCTAAAACCCACCTCTGCAACAGAGACAATTTAAGATGAGTGAAAGAAATTTGCTGGAATTCATTCTCTGATGCTCATCCCTTCTCTCCATTTTATGTCTTCACAGTCTGCAGTTTTTCCTGTGGTGAGTCCATCTGCCTAAACAGGCCTCCTGGCCTAAGAAAGCCCTTTTCAAAAGAACTTCTCTATGATCCTGTCTGTGAATCTTCACCTGTTAATAACGGTGGGGTACATTGGTTCCTCTTAACTGCAAAATGAACTCTACTCTACAGAGCAAGGCAGGGCAATCTCTCCAGCAGCCATCCTGATGGGGCTGAAATCCCATTGGTGGAGAATCAAAAATTGTTCAGCCTCCATACTCTGGGGAAAAAGCAGAATTTTTATTTGAAATAAACCTAACAGTGTTCCCCCACCCCCAATATTTCCAAAAGTGTTGGACAACTCACACAAGTCCTCATAGGAGCTGAGAATTAAGGGAACTAATATCCCAGACTTATGGAGACATTTTACAAATGTAGTGATGTCTATAACAGGACCATAGGCTGAGCACTTAAGCCAGGTAGGTCTACATCTGTTCTCCACCTCTTTATTCACGGTCTCTAGAGTTGAAATTTGTCGGCAAATCTCTGAATAACAGCAGCACATTTTTCTTTTCTTCCCCACCCCCGTTAAAATTTGGCAAAATGGATGTCTGAATCTTTTAAGGAACGCCCCTAATTCAGTTTCTAGAACACTTAAAAAAGAGGGGCAAAGGTCCAGAAATGCCTGCCCCAGCCACTTCAGGTTTGTGATCAAGTTATGGCTACCATCCACTTGGACTTCTAGTGTCCAAAACAACAGAGAAAGGGAAGTGTACTCCAAAATGTTTTAAATTAATGGGACAAGGATTCAAAGACGGGACAGGACAACAATTCTAGACTGACTGGGTCAATTTTATCTGGACTTCTAAAGGTAAAACAGATAATGTGCTGATTAAATTCATTGAATTTAATTCAGTGAATTAAATTCACTGGATGAATTTGCTGGGTGCAGACTCCGAGCAAATCCACTGCAGTCAGCAAAGCTTCAGTACGTAATTACCGTAAAACCCCATTGATTTCAATAAATCTATTCTAAATATAATTAAATCTAGACCTAAAACATAATCATCTTTGGATGTGATTTGAATTATTTCAGATATACTGGTAATAGCAGACTAGGGGTTTTTCTCCCTAATCAATCACATTTAGGTTTAAGTTTCAATCATGCCATCCGTGGTTTGAACCTGATGTTCATCCAGAAACTCATGCTGGGACTCAAAAATTATAATAACTGTTTTCCTTTTGCAAAGGGTGGGTGCCCATTTCATGCGCACTAAAGCATGACTTGTATTATTGTTTAACTTAATCTTCTACTTGTAGATAGGGCAAGTCTGGCTGAGAACATGGGTGTTTATGTTGCACAGGATATGGAGGGTCGATCTAACAGCATCTCCTCCATCACATCCACAGGCCAATCACGGTTTCGACCTTATGAAGTGGCACAATGCAGAAACTGCCAAATTCTCAAGGCTTCTTGCTATGACCTCAGAATATGCGCAGGTGATTGTCTTTTGCCACCTCTTTCCCCTTATTCCCTAACTTCTCCATCTCTCTTTGCTTCTGCTGAAACAAATTGCACACATAAAATATGCAAATGGTGGGCTAGACATCTAAGAAACCCATAAATTCAGAATCTCTCTGCGATAAGGAGGGAAATAGCAGCAAGGGGAAGATATATCGACCTATTTGTGACTCATAAAAAAAGCTGCTTTAAAACGCAGAGTTTTTGGTCTCTGTGGTTACATGATAAAACCTAAGGTTTTTGAGATCACAGAGAGATCAGGCTATTAAACTAGTTAGGCAGCCTCAGTTAGATCAGGGGTCTCCAACCTTGGCAACTTTAAGCCTGGCCAACTTCAACTCCCAGAATTCCCCAGCCAGCTTTGCTGGGGAATTCTGGGAGTTGAAGTCGGCCAGGCTTAAAGTTGCCAAGGTTGGAGACCCTTGAGTTAGATTGCTCTTCAGCTTACATGTTACATCCATTTCACAACATTGCTGTGGAATTAATACAGACATGGAGAGGAAAAGTAGAAATAATTCTTAATGGAATAGGATAAAAATTACAACAAAGCTTCTCCTTCTTCCCTCACCAATGCACAGAATTATTTCACCCACTTGGACCGGACTCCTTATCAAGGGAGTCTTAACTTAGCTCTTTAACTTTCACTTGCTCGCTTCTAAGAAAAGAAGGAAAATTGATTCAATAACGTAACTGTATCAATAACTGCAGGCTACTTCTGCTGATTGCCGGCTGTAGTCACCGGCTCAAGGTTGACTCAGCCTTCCATCCTTCCAAGGTCGGTAAAATGAGGACCCAGATTATTGGGGGCAATACACTGACTCTGTAAACCACTTAGAGAGAGCTGTAAAGCACTGTGAAGCAGTAGATAAGTCTAAGTGCTATTGCTATTGCTTGTTTTTGGCAATATGTGTGGAAAATCCCCCCTTTCAGAATTATTGAATCCTTTAACTGAATCAGGCATACCCCTGAATCCCTCACCTGGCTGCAATCCTGCCAAGAAACCTGTGTCTGCAGGATCATAAATCTCCCATAAAGAAAACTGCCATGTTCTAATACTTAAGGAAAAGCTACCGATCTTCATAATGTTAATGCTTTGGCCATACTACAGTGAGCTTCTTGACTGGAAAAGTTTCAAAAACTGAAGTGCTAGAGATATATTTATTTCATTAGAGATATTAATAGAACAATTCCAGGTTTCTATTTTGGCATTTCCCTTTTCTCCAGGACCCAACATTGTTGCAGCCGTGTTGATAAGTCTTACAGTCTTGCTGGGGGTACTGGGAGTTGCGATGTGGTGAGTTGCTTAGCATTTGCAGAATCAGATAATGGCAGAATTAGAAGGATCATTTTAGGCTATTGAACCCAACCTTATTGCTCAGCACAGATATTAAGTCAATGCATCCTGAGCAGATGTTTGCTTGGACAATCCAGCAAACAATGCACATTACCTCTCAGCTTAATAGATTCAATTATTGATCATTCTTGCATCTACATTCAGAAATTTGCTTTCTTACAACCTTAGTATTCCATTTTCGTTCTCCTGTAATACATTTCAAGGTATTTCCAAAGCCCTATCTTATTTCATCTGTTCCCCCCCCCCGCCAAAAAAATCTCAAGGATTAATATACCCAGTTCCTTCCATTTTTCCTTGTAGGATTTAACTTTTGTTGCATTCTCTGAACCCAGGGGTTTGAACCCTTCTTAATGTGCAAGACCAAGATCTGGGCTCCATTCTCCATTCTGGTGGGGATTCACCCATACTTATCATTGTGTGCATTGTGTACGTGGGTAAATCGGTTTATTGCAAATTGACATCGTCCAGCTGTTGGGAATGTTACACTTGGGTGCTAAGTTGGAAGAAACTCATGCAGAATACCAATTGCTCTGAGCCTGGGGAAATGAGGCACTAGAATTGCCTAATGTTTTGAGAGTGAGCTATGGGTTCAATGAATGTCTGATGAGATCTGAACACTTCCATGATTTGGTAGTCCTTGGGTTGCAATGGGAATCGACACTGGAATTTTCATCACAAAGTGGCGCAGTCATAAAGTGTGACATCACCTAACTGCATTGCTTAGCATCAAAAATGCAGGATCACATGGGTTGTTAAGCAAGGACCTGACCTGACCTGACTGCAAGGACTAGGGGGGTACTATGGAGTGTGGGTGAGTCCCACAGGGAAGTGGGTGGGTAGGTGCTGTAGCTGGGCACTACAGAGCATAGGCAGGCAACAAAGTGGCAGGAATGGGAGCAACTTGAGACTTCTTGGCAGCTTCTTCTTGACTTTGCTTAGGGAAGCTGGCAAGGAAAGTCACAAGTGGCAATTACATAATTACAGGACAGTGCAAAATATTATAATTGCAAGGTGATTGCCAAGTGCCTGAATCGTGGTATTTGACCTTGGGGACACTGCAACAGGCCCAACTTCATGGACTGCAAATCCCCACTGTCTTAACTTTGAGTGGCTGCTGAACTAGTGGTCATAACCCAAGGAATACCTGTAGCACTTTTGGCCATGTGATGGGACCATGTCCATGAACCTGACAGTACTTTTGCTGTTCAATTTCACTCATGGCCGAGAATGGAGCAATTTAAGGCTGCACTCACAATTCCTCCGTGCTGCAGGTATTGCTGTCGTAAAAAGACATCAGAAGAAACTGAATCACAAGATGAAGATGACGATGATAAAGACAATGAAGATGATAGTTCAGGAACTTCAGAAGGCTCAGAAAAATCAGAAGAGGCTGCCCTAACTACTTCAGTACCATACTATTCAAACCCCCCTGAAACCGACATGCCCAGTCCTCCAGAATTCGACGTGCCCAGTCCTCCAGAATTCGACATGCCCAGTCCTCCAGAATACGACATGCCCAATCCTCCAGAATACGACATCCCAAGTCCTCCTAACTTCTAATGATGCCCAAAATTAAACGGTTTACAGTAGGAAAGTAAGTGGAATTATTTATCCTTACTCTGCAACATCTTTCCAGCTGCAGCTTCACAGAGGTGTGTAAGTCAGGGTAGCTTCAGAGAACCCACACATTTCAGATGGAAAATTCAATCATGAATCAGAAACTAATTAAGGGCAGATTGAGCCAAGAATACAGAGTGACTTAATCTTTCAATCATGTACACCTGCTTGGCTCAGGATTTTAGGGCTACCATGATACCTTCCTATAACAAGATAATTTAAGATCCATGCTACGTGAACAAAACTCTTTTCATTTCTTCATATCTCCAGGTAGTTTGAAGACTTCGGTCTGAAAATACAACTCTTGTCATTCCCAGCTGGCTCTCCCAGCCATGGGTAATGGTCTTGAAGGTAATTAGGTTGATAATGGCTGGCCCATGTAATATATATACAGGTATTCCCCGATTTACAACCATTATTGAGCCCAAAATTTCTGTCACTGAGTGAGACGGTTGTTAAGTGAGTTTTGCCCTTTATCTTTCTGTCATAGTTAAGTGAATTACTGCAGTTAATAACAGAATTGTAAAGTGAATTTGACTTCCCCATTGACTTTGCTTTTCAGTTTGCAAAAGGTGATTATGTGACCTCAGGACACCGCAACGGTCATAAATAGGAGTCAGTTACCAAGTGTCTGAATTTTGATCATGTGACCATGGGGATGCTGCAGTGGTTGTGTGAGAAATGGTCATAAGTAACTTTTTTCAATGCCGCTGTAACTTCGAATGGTCATTAAATGAACTGTCGAGCGCTACCTGTATAGCATACAAGTAAACCCCACATGCAGGTAGTCCTTATCTTATGACCATAAATGGACCCGGTCTATTACTGTCATGAGTCAGATCCCATGAAAAGACCTGTTTTATGACCTTTTTTATGGTAGTTGAGTTTCATTGAGCACGTAATGGCCTTGAGCGATCTATGAATTTATCCATGGAGATTTATAAATAAGAGCTTATAGTTTAGCATGTTGTATGAACCCTATCAGCTTATAATTAAACGATCATTCCAAGTGTATCTTGGTGCCTGCAATAGAAGCATTTCTGCAATGCTCTTTATTTTCAGGAATAAGTTTTTGCAAAAGGGAAAAAAAAAAAAAACCCAAACAGAAATAGCAATAAAAAATTGCCAGAACTTGTCTGGCAGTCTGCATGACATCTGGAAGCATGTTTTGCTTTGATTAGACCTTTCACGCTGGTCTTCCTAAATCAAGATACAGGTAGCCCTCACCTTATGACTGTCATGGAGCCTGTTTATTACGGTCTTAGTAAAACAGGTTGGTCATATGACCAACTTTGATATTACCACCTTTTCTGTGGCAGTTGCTAAGCAAACACCATGGTCACTAAATGAAGCAATGATTTGCTGTGAGCATAGTTTTCCCGAAAACCAGAACTAAGTGTCAGTTTTTGGCAAAGCCATTGTAAACGGCAGCCCTGTGGCCAAGAGAGGCCACAAGCGACCATAAATGCAACCCAATCGCCTGACGTTGAGTCATGTGACTGCAGGGGTGGGTGGATAATGACTATCACAAATCCTGGCTGTAAATCAAGGACTATCTGTAGATTTTTCTTTTTCTTTTGGAAGGAGGCTGTGCTTCTGCTTTGTTTGTAAGGAGAGGACAAGCAGGACAAGCAGTTTGCAAGGAGAGGACAGCTTTGTATCCTCGTCACTTGTGCAGCCACACAACCTTGGCTTAACCAGCCTCTTTCCTTGCTTCCCCCACCCACCCCAAACCCAAGAATTTGGTAAGGAACACAAAGGGGAAGAGTAATTCAGGAGGGGCTCACTGCTTGTCAAACACACAACATGCTTAGTTGGGCTGTTCTCTAGATCTCCTGGACTCCTGACTGCCATCCAGGGAAGCCTTGTGATGGGAAGGGCCAGTCGCAGTGCTCAGAATGCAGTTTTGCAGGCTAACTCTGCTGACTGCCAACAGTTCGATCCTCACCGGCTCAAGGTAGATTCAGCCTTCCATCCTTCTGAGGTCGGTAAAATGAGGACCCAGATTGTTTGGGGGTGGGGGGCGATATGCTGACTTTGTAAACTGCTTAAGAGAGGGCTGTAAAGCACTGTGAAGCGGTACTTAAGTCTAAGGGTTACTGCTATTGCTAAATGAAGCAGCCCAACGCTCCCTCCGCGGCCCATTTCCCTACAAAGCAAATCTCAAAGGGGCCAAAGCCTTTGGATGCCATAGAAGAATTTCCATTTATTACATTTCAGTAATAGCATTTTTTTTTCTGAAGCATACCAGAATTGATCAGGAACCTGGGAGGGGGAAATGGAGGCAGGGGGACTCAGCCAAGGGGGAGGGTCACACACAGCTAAATCACTCCCCACCCCCAACAAATGACACAATGATTCAAATATACTGATATCGGGGGAGGGGGGGGAGAAATCAACCCCAGCATGATGGGAGGGGTGGGGCATAGGAAACACATTCGAAGAATTTATTTGACGGGGGAGAAAAGAAAGGCCGAACAGATTGTCCTGGGTGCTAACGAGTGCCCCTCCCCAGCATCAAAGAGGAATTTAGAAAAGCAGCAACACATACACATACGCACACACTCACAAACACACACAGCCATGACTCCCTTCCCCCAAAAGCTGCTGCTGCTGTAGAAGGGATAAAAGTGACCACCCAACATCTCCTGTCCCTCCCTCTGCTCCCCCCACCAGTCCGAAGAAGATTCGAGGCTCTTTCGCAGTTGCGCTGGTTGAAGCACAGGTCTCTGGTCTGGCTGTGCATCTGAGAAACGGCACTTTTCTGGTGGGTCACAGGGTGTCCAACCCCCAAAGACACGGAAGGACGCTGCCACACAGGCCGTGTCTGGAAGGCCACTGGGCCAGAGGCAGGAAGAGCTTCTCCAACTCTGCTGGCCACCAAGCCCCACTGTTTCCGGTAGATTCCTTGTGCTCCTTGGTTGAGTCGGCCATGGCCCACAGACCAGGGCAGAGAATTTTAGATCCTGATGTTCCAAAATCCACAGCGGGGGCTTCTGTCTTTCAGGCCTTCCAAGACATGGGCCAAGAAAGCCTTTCAAGTCCAGTCGTGGTCCAGCGTGGGAGGTTTTGCCTTTAAAGCCTTTCTATAGCATCTGAGAAGGCCCGGCCTTCAACGGCTTCCAGATTCCCCTTCACAGTAGGTTGTGTTGAGTGTTTCAAGGTCCTCCCCACCGTTGACCCACTCAATGTGTTAGCAAGATCCTGCATTTCTTGCAAAAGGATATTTTTTTCGGGGTCCAACGTTTGGAGAAAGAAGGTGTTTGAGGGGTCGGGGGCCTAGGAGCAACGACTTAGTTCTGGTCTCTGGCATTAAGTTAGTGGCATCTCTCTTGATCCTAAGAACAGAGGGAGATGTATTCTAAGGTGTCAATTGTTCCTGTTACCCCCCCCCCCCACACACACCACCTCCTACTTCCTCAAGGGGGGAAAAAAATCCCAAAAAACCAGAAAAAGTGGTCCCAGCTAGGAGGTTGTGGGGAGAGAGGGAGGTAGAAGAAGATGCAACAAACATTCAGAAGGGAAGGAAGGGGAGTATCTAAGGAAAAAAAACACATTAATTTTAAAGGTTGGGTCTTCATTTCCCAAAATAATTTCATGTGGAACATCACAGAGGTAGGGAGTTAGCAATTTCCCTTTCTTCTATCCTTTAACACAGGAGAAGACAGAGATTGATGAACAAAAAAAAACAAAACAAAACAAAAATCAATATTCCAAATCTGCCATTACCTCCCAAATTTGGATAGGTACTCCCCAAACACAAAAAAAAAAAAAAGGGGGGGGGGGGAAAGGGTTCAAATATCACTTTTAAGGAACAGCCCCCCCCCTTCCCCCAGTTCTGCTTCTGTGAGTAGATTCCTCCCCATTGAATTAGTCACTGGGTGTGGCCACTGTGGCTCCCTCGACTTTGGTAGTAGAAACGGATCCTTCCAGGTCCGCGCAGAGCGGGCCTGGGGAAAAAGGGGAAACCAATTTGCAGAAAGACTCTGCTGACCTCCCAACATGGGGGTGGAGGGCCTGCAAGGACTTAGGTCCCTCCCTTTCCTTCCACCCCAATCCAGTTGCCCCTGCTCGGTGGCTGCTGTCAGAGGGGCCCCACTGCCAATGGGGAACAAAGGGCAAAAGGGGATGTTTGGGTGGTCAACACCGGGCCAAAGGTCCCCCAGTTATAGCAAAAAGGGGTTGGTGCTCCCCAGGGTGGAGGCCGAAGTGCTGCTGGGAACAACGCCGGCAGGGGGCAGGTTCTGTGGGGGCAGCCCCATGGCAGGGAGCCCCAGAGGTGGAACGGCCCCCAAGGGCTGCACCGCCACCATGGGGGAAACGGAGGCTAAGGGCATCCCAGGAGCCATGGGGGATACGGAGACCATTGGAGCTGTGGCAGGAAACGCTGGTGGCGCTGGCTGGGACAACGGAAGTACTGGACTGACACGGAGCTGATTGAGTGACAGTGGAGTGGCTGCTGCTGCCTGGAATGGATTGGTGGCCGAGGCAGATGGGGCGGGAGCTGAACCTGCAGCAGGCAAGAAGACAGAAAAGAAAGGATGATTATAGAGATGCTCAGAGGGCCTCCTTTGAGCCTAAAAACCCCAAAGGTCTGGCTATTGGGGGAGTTGCTTAAGCCTGGCAGAAGTCCACACGTCTTCAAGTTGCCAAGGCTGAGGAACACTGTTCTAACGCATCCTCTAGAAATGTATTTCTCAATCCCTTGAAGATGTGTGGACTTCAACTCCCAGAATTCCTGAGGCAGCATACTGGCTGGACTATTCTGGAAGTTGAAGTCCACATATTGTTGCCAAGCCTGCGAAACACCGTTCTAGAAGGTTCTACCTGTCAGTCTGGCCCTGCTTAGTGCCAGCAAACTCTGTTCTATGAATAAACCTTCAAATAGTTTTCCCCAAATGGGCACCCATTGAGATAAAAGAAATTTCTATCTTTCTAGTCTTACAACCTTTATTTCCTACCGATCATTTTCAAGGGTGTCAAACTGGCGGCCCGCAGGCCAGATGCATCAGCACAGGCCACGCCCACCCCAGCTCTCCAAAGGCAAAAAACGTCGGGATACATCAGGTGATGCAATCAAGTTTGACACCTGTGCTTCAGATGCTCAATATGACACGCATGGAGTTATTCATTTTATAGCCACAGCAACCCTTTGAAGTAGGCGAGATTGAGGGACCGTGACTGATTCAGTTATCCAGTAGAGTGGATAACTTTAGCCCTAAAGTGAAGTGGGAAGTTGAATCTTGGTCTCCACAGACAAAACATGAACCACTACTCTGAAATACTTTTGGCAATCACACCCCATAATTCTCACGCCAGCTGAGAACAATGGGGGGGTTGCTAATTTAACATTTTGTCAGACAGTCAAATTGGGATAAAGCTGTTTCAAAAAAGAATTTTTATTTTATTTATTTGTATCCCTCCTTTATTATTTTTACAAATAACTCAAGGCTGCGAGCATATCCAATACACCTTCTTCCTATTTTCCCCATAACAACATCCCTGTGAGGTGTGTAGGGCTGAGAGACCATGAGTCACTCACAGCCGACTTTCATGCCTAAAGTGGGACTATAATTCAAAGTCTCCCAGTGATTGGCCCAAAGTTACCCAACTGTCTTTCATGGCTAAGGCAAGACTTGAACTCACAGTCTCTTGCTTTCCACCCTGGTGCCTTAACCACTAGACCAAACTGGCTAGTCCGATTTCAGTGTTGTTTATACAGGTAGTCTTCAACTTACAACAGTTTCTTTAGTGACTGTTCAAAGTTACAACGGCACTGAAAAGTGACTTATGACCATTTTCCACACTTACGACCATTACAGCATCCCCATGGTCACGTGATTTACATTCAAATGCTTGACAATTTGTTCATAATTATGATGGTTGCAATGTCCCAGGGTCATGTGATCACATTTTGCGAACTTCTGACGAGCAAAGTCAGTGGGGAAGCCAAATTCACTTAACAAATCATGTTACTAATTTAACAACTGCAGTGATTCACTTAAGAAAAAAAGGTGTAAAGTGGGAGAAAACGCACTTAAAAAATTTCTCACTTAGCAATGTAAGTTCTGGGCTCAATTCTGGTCGTAAGTCGAGGGTTATCTATAATGAATTCAGACAAGGATGATTCCTTTCGATTTCTATCCCAGTGAAATCAGTGCAATGGAATAGATTTCCTGCACCTCAAACCAAGTTTGATTCTCCTTGAGCACAGCAATGAGTAGGAGCCCTTTTTAATTGCCCTAACCCGCCCCCGACATCCCAAAGCATACAAACCCTTACCAGGGGGGAGGAAAGGGTTCGAAGCCTTGGTGCTGCTGGATGGAGCAGAAGGTTTGCTGACCAGAGAGTCCAGATCGACGAGGGCTGCGTTGGGACCCAGGAAAGATTCAGGGGTTTTACGCATTGGCTTGCAGGTCTCTGGCAGTGACCCAGCCATGGCAGCCATATCAAAAGCATTGGGGCTGTCCTTGCCACTGCCAGCCTGAGAGACAGGGACCTCCCCTGCTAAGAGGGACAGTTCACCTGTGGAACAAGAAATGAGAGGGAGAAAGAGAGAGAGAGAGGAGGTGTGTGAGGGAGGAGTAAAAATCCAGAAGCACAGAGAATATGGATGGAAAACGCAGATTCCATTTTAGACAGGGCAGTTCGTTGAGTATGTAAGAAGTTGTGCTTGGTTTATGGCTGTCCAGAATCATTTTGCCCTCATTCCCAAAACCACAAACAACCCTCCCTTCCCCAGATTTTAGGGTTGGATTTTTTTGTTAAAGTATTAAATTATTTCCCCATCTCTTTCAAACTACACGCAAGAATATAAAGTTTGGAAAGCCAATGTCCAAACAAGATTAGAGGATATAGGGAGGGAAAGAATCAAAGGGAGGAGCATGCAAATTCTGTACCATGCCAGGGGAGCTAGAGGTCATCTGGTCCCCAAACCATTGGCCTGGATAGGTTAGAGGGAAGGGCGGTTAGAGCTGTGGTTCCCAAGTATGGCAAACCTGAAGATGCGCGGAGTTCAATTCACAGAATTCCCCAGCCAGCCATGGGGAATTCTGGGAGTTGAAATCCACACATCTTCAAGCTGCCAAGGTTGAAAAACACACTGGGGTGGAGCATTAGGAACCATGCCTAGGAAAGGGAAGAGGGGAGGGGGGAAAGCAAGGCTGACCTGTGCTGCTTCCAGATTTGGGCAGTGCTGGGCGCAGGCTGTCAAAATCAGAGAATTCATCCCTGTCCCCGTCATCAAACTGCTCAAAGCCTCTGGCAGCTGGGAGAGGAATAGGGCACAAGAGGAAGGATGGGGCAAAAGGATTAGCTGGGAGCAGGAAGAGGCCCTGAATTAGGAGTCCTTCCCCTTCAGCTGACCCAGTGAGAAACACTGCCCCTCCCCCTCCCTTTCTCCCAGCACCTGGTCCCCAAACCCCTACTGCTCATCCTTACCTGACATGCCGTTAGTGCTTGGCTTAGAAGGGGAAGCCCCCCAGGGATCTGAAAAAGTGGACGCTGGAGCCCAAGGATCAGGAGCAGGTTGTCCTTGGGATGTGGGAGCCGTGCCGGATGACCATGGGTCTGTGGGTGTTGCTGTGGTAGGCCCCACAGAAGTCCCACCTGGGAAGAAAATGAACCATGCCAGAGATGGAATTCGAGAACAGCCTGTCCAGCAGTGATGGTGGGTTTAGATCCGAATGGACAAGGAAAACACAGCAGGGTTTTGAGGGGTGAGGTGGCCAAAATGATGCTCGATCACTGGAAGCTTTTAAGAAGAGAGTGAATGGACATTTTTCCAGAATATGTAGGGCTCCTGCTTGGGCAAACAGAGGTCTGAACTAGAAGACCTTCCAGATCTCTTCTAACTCTGTTATTCTGCATTCTGTATGGCAATCGGGGAGAAAATGCTTTCCATTGGTGAAGGACCTTCAAACTCAAGCAAAGGAAACGGCCTTCCCCGTTAGATAGATTGCTGAATCTATCTCAGCCTCCTGACTGAGGCTCACAGAAAAGAAAAAGCAGTAATTGAAATTAAGCCAAAATGGCTTCCAAAAGGTGAGTGGTCCCCTGAACCTTTTGGAGTTTTGGGAAGGTGGGAACAAGCATGTGGACAAGATACCTAGCAGATATTGTGCACTTGGATTTTCAAAAAGCAGTCACCGAGGGTCTTGAGCAGGAATCTTCCAACGTGGCCACTTGAAGACTTGTGGACTTCAATTCCCAGAATTCCATAAGTCTTCTGGGAATTGAAGTCCATAAGTCTTCAAGTTGACAGATTTGGAGACCCCCTGATCTTGAGCAAAATCAGCTGCCATGGGCTAAAACTGTAAATACACTCAGGGACTGGGAGCTGGTTAAAAAAATAAAATAAGTAGTAAGAATAAATGGACAATTCTCAGTTGTGCAAAGCATCTGCCCTCCAGCAACATGTGTTGGGAGCAACACTTTTTATTTGATATTCTGGTGATCTGGAACCTGGGCTAAGCATTGAAGTGGCTCTGTTCGCTGATGACCGCAAACCGTTCAGAGATTGGTGTTAAATCAAGAGGTTTCAAAGGATTCCCATTTTGGAGACATATGGGCTTTCAAACAGCAAATGCAGTTAAATGTAATTAAATTAAAGGGATGTGTGTTGGCATAAAATATATTTGTTAAAGAGGCCTGAACAGGCAATGACTGACCAGGAAAAGGATCTTGGGGGTCACCGTGGATAGCTTGATTTAAAAAATAATAATAATCCAGCATGAGCCAGCTCTAAAAAAAGAGAAATTTCATGTTCCACTTCTCATCCAAGAAGCTTCTTCAGCTCTGACTGGATGGGGAATGGAGGGATTTATATTCCTTGAAGGTAGTTGGTCATTTGCATCCTTTTAGAGGGTCTTTGAAGCACTTGAAGGTTTATCTATATCCTCAAGGTCACCTGAGTAGCTCTCCTGGTTCCTGTAGTCTGCAATTTTTCCTCTGGAAATCCATTCCTACTCCCATACCTTTCAAAGGGTGTTCATCCCAAATTGTATAGCTAAAAGTCAACTTTTAGAACCAGGAGAGTTACTCAGGTGACCCTGAGGACGCAGATAAACTTCCAAGTGCTTCAACAACTCTCTAAAAGGATGCAGATTATCACCAGCTGGATGCAAGGAATATAAATCCTTCCATTCCCCACTATCCTGTCAGAGCTGAAGAAGCTTCTTGGATGAGAAGCGAAACGTCTTCAAAAGAAAAACAAAACCCACCAAGAAAATCCAGTTGCCTCCTGAAAAAGCACCTTTGGGACATATACCGTAGTTACCTACCCCTGCTCCACACTCTTTTCTCTACACTCCACTGAGGAGCTCATAGCAGAGGAGACAGCTGTCATAAACACTCCTCCATAGGTCTTATGAATTGCAATGGGACCCCATGTTGCCCACCCCTTCCTCTTAAAAGATCTTTTCAGAAGAGGAACCCCACACAAGTACATCATCATTACGAAGTAATGATGATGAAGAATGTTTCAAGCATCTGATCCTGCCCAGATTTCGATCTTACCTTCGGCCTTCCAGGGGTCAGCGCTGGCAGCTGGCGGGGCTCCCCAGGGGTCCGAGGGGGGTGCAGGAGGTGCTGCGGAAGTTCCCCATGGATCTCCTGCAGGGGCTGCTCCAGGAGCATGGGGTCCCCATGGGTCCGTACGAGCTGTGGGTAGAACTATGGCGGCGCCACCCCAAGGGTCAGCAGGAGGAGGCTGAGTGCCCCACGGATCAGCAGGTGGTGGAGCAGTGAAGACATCAGCAAGGTCCATCAAGGATGACTGGGTGATAGAGAAGGCAACAAAGATTGTAATGGGAAAGAGAAAAATTATAGCGCATCTTCACTGTTCCATTTAACATCCAGCGGTTTCTTCCCTTTCCCTGGTCTAGAGCAGGGTGTCAAACGCGCAACCCGCAGGCCGGATACATCATGTGCTGGCCATGCCCACCCCCGGTTTAGCAAAGGGGGAAAAAGTCACGAAACGTCACATGACCACGTGATGCCACGAGTTTGACACCCGTGATCTAGACTGGAGCATCCTGCTGGAATGTAGTTAGAAATGTGGACTAGGACTAGTGAGCCAAGGCACAGATTCACACTCAACCATAAATGTAGACCTATATATAAAAGTCTTATATATATTTGCTGATGCTCTATTTAAACCGTTAATGATTTTTTTCTGCTGTGTTGCTATGATTGTTGATTTTAATGTTTTTTTAATGCTCTGTTTTTATGCTGTGAGCTGCCAAGAGTCGTTGGATACAAGATGAGTGGTAAATAAATTTCATAAACAAACAAACGAACTTATATTTGTGTTTGTAGATACTGCATTTTATTAGTGTTGTATATCAGTTATTGCATGACCTCTCTATGACAAATAAATAAATAAATAAATAAACAAACAAACAAAATCTTTGTTCTAACTTAGAAATGGACAGAATTGGTATATTTGCTTGAATATTTATTATGAACCAGAGCAAATTGCAATAGCTAGGCACCTTGCTCTCAATAATTGAATTCAAAGGCTTCGTTACACTAAGGTCTACTTCTGGTTTTCTTTTTCTTTTATTTTGGAAGTGTCATTTAAATTTTCAAAGTCCTTTCAACACTTGACATTATTACACAAAAGGGAGACAGAACATCCAGGATATCGCCTGCAAGCCACCCAGAAATCAAGGGAGAGATTTTGATTTATATTCACTTTTATTTATTTTATTTATTATTTTATTAGATTTTTATACCGCCCTTCTCCCACTAGACTCAGGGCGGTGAACAGCCAAGAATAAAAACATCACATACAAAATTTAAAATTATTTAAAAAAAGAATTAAACAAATTTTGGCCCAATAAATTTAAAACACCCCAACTAAAATCAATTAACAATTAAAAATATCTAAAAATATCTAAGTGGGGGTTAAGTCAGCCCGGCTTGATGAAATAAAAAAGTTTTAAGGGCACGGCGAAAAGCACGGAGATCTGGGATCCTACGTATCTCCGGGGGCAAATCGTTCCAGAGGGCAGGTGCTGCCACAGAGAAGGCCCTCCCCCTGGGAGTCGCCAGCCGACATTGTCTGGCCGACGGCACCCTGAGGAGTCCCTCTCTGTGGGAGTGTACTGGCCGGTGGGAGGCTATCGGTGGCAGAAGGTGGTCCTTTTGCTTTTATTTACAACATAATATTTGCGCAAAGGTAAAGCCACAGCTTCCACATATAAAGTTCTTTGGAAGAAGATACAAGAAGAAGAAGAAGATACAAAATGGTATTAGTTGACTTGAGTGCTCTCTGGGACAGAAAAGTGGGATACAAATCGTGTCCATAAAATAATAACTATTTCACAAGATGGCTAAGAGATGTTTTTGCTAGAGTAAATCATGGGTCTTATAGGAGATGACCGGGCTGAGATCGAAGGAGGGGTCAAGGGCATCATCAATCTAGAGTTGTTCCATTAATCTACCGTATTTCCCCGAAAATAAAACCTGTCTTATATTTCTTTGAACCCTGAAATAAGCGCTTGGCCTTATTGCCATGCACTCAAAAGCCCGATTGGGCTTATTATCAGGGGATGTCTTATTTTGGGGGGGAACAGGGTAAGTCCAGACACCTTTCAATTCCATTGACTTTTATCTGGTGCCAATTTGTCTTGACTGTTAGATCAGATTCTTGTGCACAGGTAGCATGTACAAGTAGTCCTCGACTTATGACCACAACTGAGCCCAACATTTCTGTTGCTAAGCAAGACATTTGTCATTTGACATTAGTAACACACGGCTGTTAAGTGAATCTGCCTTCCCCATTGGCTTTGCTTGACAGAAACTAGCAAAAAGTGATCACATGATCCTTGGGACACTGCAAATATGAGTCATCTGAATTTTGATCACGTGGCCATGGGGATGCTGCAGCAGCAGTCGTTAAGTGTGAAAAATGGTTCACAAGTCACTTTTTTTCAATGCCGTTGTAACTCTGAATGGTCACTAAATAAACTGTTGTAAGTTGAGAACTACTACCATGTTTCCCCGAAAATACGACCTACTCAGAAAGTAAGTGCTAGCTTGATTTTTACATGTGCGCCCAATATAAGCCCTACACTCCAAATAAGCCCTAATTAAGACCCCGCCCATTCCAGGGTGCACAGGTAAAAAATTAAGGTAGGGTGGGGATGGGGTGTGTGTGTGGAACTGCCCTACTACTTACCTTTGATATTTGCAGCCAGGCCTCGCGCACCTCAGCCCATTTCTTTTGCTGCAGCTGGCAAGGCTTTCCTGAAGACCTCTGTAGCCGATAACAGAGCTCCGGATCAATCCGGAGCTCTGTTATCAGCTACAGAGGCCTTCAGGAAAGGCTTGCTGGCCATGCCGGATTAAGAAGTTCCTGAAGGCCTCTGATAGCAACAAAGAGGCCAAGGACGATGTGTGCAAGTGAAGTAAGTCAGTGGATGACATCCCTCCCCACCCCCAAAAATAAGACCTGATACCTTTTTTGGTGGCAAAAAAATTATAAGACAGAGTCTTATTTTTGGGGAAACACAGTAGTAATAAAGTTGAAGTACTCTGAACTAAAACTCCTGTTCCTAAGTAACTTATGCCTGACAGGTCTTCTACTTGAGCATTCAGAAGATGCCAACGAGATGCCTCCTGGAGTTGACCCCATGGGGCAGCGAAGGAAATCGTTTGCTGCTCCACATTGCCCTCCTCCCACCCACATCACCCCTTTCCATGGGAGATCTTTTTTAACCACCATGGTAGGCAGCTCCCAGCCTGTCTCTTCCACCTCACCTCCTCCTTGGTAGGCACCGTCTCCTTCTTACTCTCTTCAATGGCCATCTGGAGGCGAAGGTCATCCCCACGGCGGATCCGCTCTTCCTGTAAGAGGGTTGTGAAAAGGACAGAGACGTTAACGGAGGCAGTAGAAAGTGACAGGTGGTTACTCACCTTTGGCAAGGAGAGAGCAAGAGCCAGAATATAGATGGAGCAGCAGCTTGGCCAGGGATCAGATCAACTTTGAAGCATCTGCTACTGTTGTTTCTGTTTTGCATGAAAAGTTATCTTCAGAAAAAAACATCCGAGAAAGAGAGAGAGAGAAGTGAGCAAGATGCTGTTCTAACCCTCCAACAAACTAGTTCATGCCAAATAATGGGAATCCTGAATTTTGGCTCCTTTTGCCAATACTTCATAAAAGTAGAGTCCAAGTGGAAGCATCTTCTGTTCACTGCAACTCCCTCGGGCCCCAAACTAAGTATATGACCCTCTGGGTGCCCAGCAATCTCAGCGTTAGCCTGTCATTCCAGGATTTCTACTGGCTGAATTTCTAGTATTTTATCTTTCATCTACTGGCTGAATCCAGTAAAATCCAGAGTTTACACACTAAAGGTCTTCTTTTTCTTGCTTTTCCACCTCATCTTCAGCTAAGGTGAGAAAAGACATCTGAAAAGACATCAAGAATTCCAACTTCTTTTCAATTGAGTATCTGATCCCTTTTCCCCCATCAACAACTCATAGGTACATTTTCTTCCAGGATGTTGTGTCCAAGCTTCTGGAGACATTCATCAAATGTCTTAGTAGGCCTGAGTTCAAGTCCTAGCTCGGTCAAGCTTAGGATACCTGGATTGACCGGTTTTATTACCGAGCCTCTCGCTGGGAGAAACTTGGAAACTGGCCAATTGAAAAATGGACAATTCACCAGGTAGTGGACAATAAATGAGGCCTAAAGCTGAAAGAGAGGTTGTTGCCATCGCTCTCCTTTGGATGGGGATTTGGAGAGACAGAGAATGCCACGTTAGTTAGAAAAGTGTGAAAGGTCAAGACTAGCTCAGAGAAAGTAGTTTAGTTGATTATTTCAGGAAGAACTGAGTGGGGTGGCGTGATAGCAGTCTAACCTTGTCGTGCTCCTCTTTGCTCAAGCTAAGGGCTAGCTGGAGCTGTAGGTCTTCGTCGGCCACTGCAGGGGGCTGGGAGGGAAGAAACACAACATAAGAGGCATGGAATGGAGTTTGACACATGGAGAGGAAGGAGGAGAAGACAGACAGATGGAGGGTACCTCCCATTCTCAAAGCTGTTTCCACACTGGATTGCAAAAGCCCAATCCAATCAACTAGCCCATCACCTCCCAGGTTTTGAAATGCCCGATATATTCAGTTTCTGGAAGAATATTTGTACCTCAAGGATTGAACTGTGGGGTGGCTTGGTGCTCTCCGAGCTTGGCTGTTTTCTTGCCGATGTTTCATGACCCATTTAGATGACATTAGCAACGCAAAACCCCTTCTAGCCATGATGATGTTACCTAGTTGGGTAATGAAATGTCTGCAAGATAACAATCAAGGCTCAGAGAGCACCAAGGACCCATATAGAGTATTCCATTGGCCGAACCAATGCTAGGTATACTTGCCAAGCGCAACTTCTCTTCCTGGCTACAATTAAACAGTTCTCACAAGAATTTCAAAAGCACTCCAAGCCCTAAGTAGTATTCTAGTAAGCAAAAGTAAATTGTATTGGAACTGTATCATGATATATGTAGAGAAATATATCCAAGAATCAGTAAGATACCATCACTTCCCAACCCTTTAGGTAGGATCACCCTTCCCAATCAGGTGTGTTCACATGTGATGGACATCCACTCCCATAAATGATGGAAACTGAAGTCCAACCCCTCTAGAGAGCCACCAGGTAGAGAAGGCTGACATTCAAATGAACAAAACAGGGTATGAAGAAACCAGGATCAGAGTCCTGTTCTGCTATGATGCTCATCTGTCAGCTCTCCCTACACCAGGGCTGTCAAACTCCTGGCCTGCAGGCCGGATGTGTCACGCGCTGGCCACGCCCACACCCGGTTTAGCGAAGGGGGAGAAAGTCCTGATACGTCATGTGATGCCTCTATGACGACGTGAGTTTGACACCCCTGCCCTACGCTCTTCCAACACAGGGTAACAAGGGCCACAACCTGATAGTATCTAGAAAAGTGGATGCCTTCTCTGTGGGAGAAGGCAGACATATTTTTATGCTAACGTCCATGTCTGTGAAGCATCAGCCTGGCAGCCACACAGGGAATTGGAAACTGGATGTAGGGAAGTGAACTCTCAGAAGAGAGGAGGAAGGAAGCAGCAGATATAGAATATTCTGCTCCTTCTATCTGTACTCTATAAAAGCCAGGCACTGGAGAAGGGAAATCTCCTTCCACAAACTCTAAGGAGAAATATTTCTCTCTATCCCAACTTTCCAACTTTCCTGATCACATCATCCCAAGCCCTCCCCAAAAAGTAATCACTTTTTCATACTTCAACACAACAGAGGCAGAAGACTGGTGGTGTCAAGAGGAGGGAAAATAGCCCATGCCATGTCTAGACTTTTTTTCTGTGTGGTCCTGTTACCTAGACATCTTTCCATAATGCAAACAGAGTAAAAAAGAAATCTACCACGATGGCACAAATCTTAATTAATACCTCTGTGAGAATTTATTTGCTTTCCGTTTACGAACAACAGGGTGGAGTAGGAGGAAATGCGGCATGGAGGGGTGGTCAAGGGAAGTGGGAAGAAGGTGCCAAAAATAAACAAGGAGCTGAAAATAAAAGAGGACAAAATGGGATGGGGTTATTGGGGGAGGGGAGTGATCCCTCTGGAAGAGCCACAGGAACAGGAAGGAGCTGACAAGGAGAGCCCTGGGAAGGAATCTCAAAGATGGGGTTTTTTTCTTCTTCAAAAGGCAACTGGAGTTTTTTGAAGGAGGAGGAGGAGGAGGAGGAAGCGGAAGAAGAGGAGGAGGAAGAAGAAGGAGGAGGAGGAGAAGTAGTAGTAGTAGTTTCACTTCTCATCCAAGAAGCTTCATCAGTTCAGGAAAAAAAACAGTCGCTGCCTTTTGAAGGAAAAAAAGCACCTTTGAGACAACTATAACGTGGAAGATTGAGAATCTCCACAGACCCCAGGAATGAGTTTAATGCTTGCAGAGTCACGTTGGAATTGTAGGAACAGCCACTCAGATCAGTGATGGAAATGAACAGTGGTTGGATGGCAGCAGACCTACGGAGAATTAATCATCACGAACAGAGTCTGGGCCTTCGCTTCACCTATGCAGAGTGAGTGAGCACATCTTTTTTCCAAGAGTGGTCCATTCGGTGGAGGAGGCAGACTTCTTAGGAGAGGGAGGGGCTATGAAAACTACAACAGAGGAAAGGTAGATAAAAGTGCATCATTAAACCAGGGGTGTCCAACCTTGGCAACTTTTAAGACTTGTGGACTTCAACTCCCAGAATTCCCCAGTCAACCACAGGAATTGGCGCAACTGATGTGCAACATGAAGCTGTACACTGCTTTTCTAGCCATGGCTGCCTCCTTGAGTGGGAGCCACAAGTCCAGGGAGAGTGTAATCCCATCCGGAACAAGTTATGGGAAGTCCCCAGAACAAGAGGATCCTAAAACCCAAAGTCACTTGGTTTCTCTAGGGTTGAGCCAAAGCTTCTTGCTCTCCATCAAGTCTCCCACAGCCACCTGACATCAATAGGACCTCCACAGCATCGCTCAGATGGCCCAGGGTGGACATATATAGCTGGGTATCATCTGTACACTTATGATATACCTCATCCCAAATAAAGGGATGATCTCACCCAGAGGTTTCATGCAGATATTAAAGAGGAGAGGAGAATGCACTGAGCCCCATGTAGCGGGAGCCATACGCTGGGTGTCTCCTCTCCTATCCACATAAACTGGAACCAGACCTGGAAGAAGAAGGGAAGACAGAATACCACCATTCTGCCCATCCCACTGCTCGAAGCTGGTCGAGAAGACTATGACTGATTTTCTTCCAATGGCACTGGAAGATTTGTGGACAGCAATTCATTCCTTATCGTGACCAAATGCATTACAAAACGCTTACTTCAAAGCTCAGTAATGCTCAAAACAATCCCTATCAAAATTCAGCTCCCTTATCTGGCACTCTAAGGGCTCCAGTCAAGACATTTTAAAGAGGGATCATACTCTTAAGAGGAGCAACAGCTGAAGGAACTGAGAGTATCAACCCCCTTCAACAACTCTCTCTATCCTGCAGGCATAATTGTTAATCCAGATCCATGACTCTCAACAGTCTCAAGTGTACATCGGTCCGTTCTGCACATAACACTAAGCCATAATATGAGAGCTACAATCCAACACATCTGGAAGACATCAGATGGGGGAAAGCTGCCCTAATAAAGCAGCCTCTTAAAAAAAATATTTCTTCCTCAAATCTGATTCCCTCTGAACATTGCAATCTACTGCAACTATCAGCCCAAGGCCACCTGATCCATGTTCCCAGATGATGAACTTTTAAACCAAAACATGTCAGAACCCAGGTTGAAAAAGGCTCCCTAAAGCTTTATGGTTTTTGGCTCTTTTTGATTAATTAGCGAGATTAATCACCTGCATTCTACTGCTGTTTTTATTTGGAACCATGTCTGTTAGCACCATTCTTTTTGGTCCAGTTATCATTCAATCGGGCACTCGCCACTTACACAGAAGCCCTCTTTAAGCCCCGTCAGCGTCAGGCTGTGTGACAGCTTCAACTCAAATAATTTGATCAGAAGGCAATTGCAAACCAATTTTCCAAAGCAATCTGATTTGAAAATTCAATGCATAAAATTGATTTGATTATTCAAACTGAATCCGAGCCGATTAAAATAGCCTTCAAAAAACAAAACAAAATTAATTTACGTGCAACTTTTTAAAAACCTTTAAGCTATTACAGCCAAGGACTTTCTCACTATTATCTTTTTAAGCTTTTTCATTTTTGAACTAAAAAAAAAATAGGACAACAAATGCACAGCAGAACTGAAAGTAATTAATAATTGCAGATAAAACAGCAGGATAACACAGTGGAAACAAAGTTCAAGATCGGCAACTGTTTGACATTACGGCAGCAATGAGTGAATGTTACTGCCCAGTCCCCAAAGTTATGGCCATTCCAGTGCCCCTGCTGTTGTTATGTGATCAGAATTCAGGGGCTTTGCAGACCACCGACAATGAATAACTGCAGGGGTGCTTTTCAACTCCTCCCTACCTATTTTCTCTTGCCTCCATCTCTGCCCTTAGGGCCACCCTGCCCTCCACCAGCTCTGCTGGTCCTGCTACTCTGGGCTCTGCTGGCCCTGGGCTCCATTTGGCCTGCCAGCCCACATTCCCCTCACCCTGCCAGCTCTGCTGCTCCCAGCTGGCCTTCCCCACCTTCTTCTATCCACTGTTGACAAGGCGCATCTGGCCCGGCCTTTCTTGATGTAGCTGCTGGCCACACTAGGCTTTCTTCCCAAGGCCACATGCAGCCTTAGCCAAATCACTGCTGGCTTTCTTCCCAGATGGTGGACTGCAGGGTGGTCCAAGCGGCAGAGACCCGAGTGGGGGTGGGGGGATGATAAGCCTGTGAGGGAGCCAAAGAGAAGGCAGAGGAGGCAGTCCCCGGGCTGGGAGGGACCAAGCCAGGAATGCCTTGGATTGGGGTGGATCCTTGCCTAACAACCATAGGGATTCTATTAACCATGAGAACTGCTGGGATTCTCATTGCTGGACGATGAGGTCACATGATGTTGTACTTCATGACTGTTCACTTATATCAAAACAACTTACTTTATGTGCGGCCAGAACCTGAAAATAATGTTTAACACAGCAGAGTACTTAAACAAAATGGTTCGGTTGAGATCTGCATACGTGGGATTGATTGGGGTAGATTATAAGGGTGACACCGAAATATAATTTTATGTCATTTTACTCCATTTTATATATTTATGTATCAAATTATATTGTATCTAATCCTATAACTATTGTATTTTACCCTACTTTTATTTTAAACTGTTCGTATAAGATTTTAATGGTGATACGTGTTTGCACCTTATATGGCCTATAGGCTAATCAATAAAGCTAAACTAAACTGAACTAAACTTAGTGACAGAAATTTACATCCCAATTACTGCTGTAACAAAAAGAATACCTGTACTTTTTTGGGGGCACTGAACAACCATCAAAAGGAGGTGAATCATTGAGTAAATGGGGTTTACCATTCATAAAACTTTTTTCTCATCAAAGATGGGGGGGATACAGAGAAACATTGGGGGGGGGAGAGCTTTGAAAATGATCTCAGGTGCGCTAAGCCCAGTGGTCCCCAACCTTTCCGGCTTTGCAGACTGACAGGGGGAGCAGACAGGGAATGGTCCCGTGTGAGTGGCAGGCACATATGCTTGGGCAGACAGCTCCATTTATCCAGGTGAAGCTCCATTTCTGTCAGCGGCAGGCCCTTGCGCAAATGGGCCTTCACACATGTGCTTGCCTGCCGCTTGCGTGGCCTGGTTCCGAACGAGCCGGAGCCCAGTACTGGGTCGTCGTATGGGGATTAGGAACTTCTGCCTAAACAGAGAGGTTAAGAAAGGCAATCCTTCAGGTACCAGACCTTAAGAGGCTATGAAGTCTCAGCACAGAGCCTGAGACGAATGATTGGCTGCTATCTTAGCTTGCCTAGCTGTCCTACACACAAGGGGAGCCTTCTTAGAGCGTCTGATGTTATTCAGGTGTGGTAACAATTACAAAAGGAAGTAGGATCAGGCTATGTTTTGGGATTAGATCTAATGCAAAGTCCACAACATCACTCCCAAGTGTGGAAAATAAATAAGGGAACAAAATTTAAAAGCCTGCAGACTGTATTTCTGATTCTCTTCATGGCCTATAGCTGTGTTTCTCAACCTCAGCAACTTTAAGTGTGTGGTCTTCAACTCCCAGAATCCCCCAGCCAACATTCTGGCTGTGGAATTCTGGGAGTGGAAATCCACAGATCTTAAATGTGATGAAGTTGAGAATATCGAGTTAGTATAACCTATGCAACTCTACAGTTGTAGCAGCTGCTCAATTTTTCAACCAGCTATAGACGTCGAGGTGGGGAGAGGAAACTTCTGGAGATTTTTTCCTACAAAGGAATAGGAGAATGGTCCTATCAAAATAGGATTCCTGATCTCATAAAGTTTTATATTCTTCCACATGACTGTTCTTAAGCTTCAATAGATTCAAACGAGAACCTGCACACCAAATAACAGCCCCTCCTTTGAAATATACAGTTTTTATATCCCATCAGACAATGATCATTCGCCCATTCTTTGCCCCACCTCCATGCAACCAAAGAGCCTCCAGTGACAGATTTACCTTGGCGCTTACCTGCTCCGCTTCCTCTTTACTCATGGCCAATGCCAGCTGCAGCTGCAGCTCTTCTTCCCCGCTGCTCTGGGGCCATGCTTGCTCTGCTTCTACTGGGGCATTTGCCAAAGATGATGAAGCAGAAGAAGCTGAAAAAGGAGAACAGAACAGGAGATAGTTGGTCCAGAATGAAGATCTTTCCAACCTTAATTGAAGGACCAAAGCAATCTGTAGGGTGATGTTGCAGATAGACAGAAAGGAGATGACAGATATTTCTCCAGAACAACTGCAAATAATACACAGCCTTATTTGTGATTGCCGTTATGACAGAACTTGATCAATTTTACGGTAAATCTATGTTCACTGATGTACAGGCATGGTGGCGCAGTGGTTAGAATGCTGTATTGCAGGCTAATTCTGCCAACTGCCAAGGGTTCGATCCTGATCAGCTCAAGGTTGAGTCAGCCTTCCATCCTTCCAAGGTCAGTAAAATGAGGAGGCAGTTTGTTGGGGGCAATATGCTGATTCTGTAAACCGTTTAGAAAGGGCTGTAAAGCACTGTGAAGCAGTATATAAGTCTAAGTACTATTGCAGTAACTTTCATGAAGTACCACATTTTCATTTATAATTTGTTCATTACATTCCTCCTACAGCTGCAGAGCCTCAAGTACAGGTTAGCAGGATGATCCAAAGGCCAAAAAAAATCACCTAAAATTGATAAACACTAATCAAAACAACCGAAGGAGTAAAAAATAATTGTGACAATAGCTAAAAGCCTGACCACACTTCAAGACTAAGCAAATCCCAGTATGTGTTGTACAACATGTCTCAGTTTCCCAAGTTTTGAATTCCATTTGGATCCAGTGAAAAGGCTTGAAGCTGCCTGTCCCTAGAGAGTACTGGACAGACTTAAAGACTCTGGTTCACATTTTTGTTCAGTATAAACAGTCATATTTTCTGGATTATCTATCTGGGACTTTCTGGAATGACGAAGTAGGGCAAAGATTTTTTTTTTCATTTAGTTTCGCTACTATTAAAAAACCCCATAAAAACATTAAACTAAATGGACAGTCCAGACTAAAATAATCTTACAACACAAACCAAACAAGGCCGGGACAAGTAATGATATATCAACCACAGTCTTGGAACCAAAGCCAGATTTTTGGAACTTTCTGGAACCTCAGGAGAGAGGGCGCCATCCTTATCTCTGGCGGGATGCTGTTCCAGAAGAGGAGAAAGCATATTTTCTTTGTCTCACAAGAGGACAATATTTAATGGAAGGAACCTGGAGCGCACCCACTCTTTCAGAATGTATTTTGTGGACAGAAACGATTGGAAACAAGCGGCCATTCAGATATCCAGGCCCTGTGAGATAACAGGACTTTATAGGTCAGGAGTCTCCAACCTTAGCAACTAAGGTTGCTAAGACTTGTGGACTTCAACTCCCAGAATTCCTCAGCCAGCTTTGTTTTAAGATGTTTGGAATTCAATTCCCAGAATTCCTCAGCCAGCTTTGCTTTAAGACTTGTGGACTTCAACTCCCAGAATTCCTCAGCCAGCTTTGCTTTAAGACTTGTGGACTTCAACTCCCAGAATTCCTCAGCCAGCTTTGTTTTAAGACGTTTGGAATTCAACTCCCAGAATTCCTCAGCCAGCTTTGCTTTAAGACTTGTGGACTTCAACTCCCAGAATTCCTCAGCCAGCTTTGTTTTAAGACGTTTGGAATTCAACTCCCAGAATTCCTCAGCCAGCTTTGCTTTAAGACTTGTGGACTTCAACTCCCAGAATTCCTCAGCCAGCTTTGCTTTAAGACTTGTGGACTTCAACTCCCAGAATTCCTCAGCCAGCTTTGCTTTAAGACTTGTGGACTTCAACTCCCAGAATTCCTCAGCCAGCTTTGCTTTAAGACTTGTGGACTTCAACTCCCAGAATTCCTCAGCCAGCTTTGTTTTAAGACTTTGGAATTCAACTCCCAGAATTCCTCAGCCAGCTTTGCTTTAAGACTTGTGGACTTCAACTCCCAGAATTCCTCAGCCAGCTTTGCTTTAAGACTTGTGGACTTCAACTCCCAGAATTCCTCAGCCAGCTTTGCTGGCTGAGGAATTTTGGGAGTTGAAGTCCACAAGTCTTAAAGTTGCCAAGGTTGGAGACCCCTGTTATTGGACTGCAGAGGGAGGTTGTTAGTACCCAATACCTTGAATTGCGCTTGGAAACCAACTGGGGTAGATTCCAGATGGCCTTCAAGGGCAGCCCCGTGTACAGATAGTCCTCATTTTACAACTGTTCAAAGTTACAACGGTCATAGAACAGGTGCTTTATAGCCCATAAAACATCCCCCAGCCATCATAAATTATTGTGCCGCCACCTCCCTCTGCAGTCACATGACCAGGGCAGGTCAGCTTTACGATTGGATGCGGCATCCCACAATCATGTGACTACAGTTTGCAGTGTTTTTTTGCCGGTTTGGGCAAACAATACCAAGTCCAATGAATGGGTTTGTTGAAAGGCCCTCATGGAAAAGGTCAACAAAGTATTTTGGTCATGCGAGTACCTTAACATACAACCGCAATGACGTAAAACTGTAATCCTGGGCTCAACTGCAGTTATATGTCAAGGACTAGAACACATTGCGATAATCCAATCATAAGGTGCCCAGGACATGAATAACTGCCTGAAGGGCCTCAAGGTGAATGAGAGAACTCAAACGTTCAAATTATATGTAGTCAGAAGATTATTTGCCTGATGGAAATGATTTTGCCAGCCAGAAATTTGGTGTTCTTAAACCAAGTGATGTGATTTGACAAAATGTACATGGCACATTGAGAACACAGTTGGCATGTCTCCCAGATGGGTTCCTTCAAAAGGAAATGAGGTGATTATTTCTAAACTGCTCTTTATTGCATTTTAAAGCACTATTTCAAAGGCACAGTGTTGATCAACAGCATGAAAACGTCCACTAATTAACTCTAGCTTATACACAGAAAGCCAGTGGGTTCTACAATTATTTTATTTTAATAAAAAATAGGGAAAGATGTAATAGAACCGAATATATATATATGTATTTCCTCTCCTGAAATTACAGGTAGTCCTTGATTTACCACCACAATTCAGCCTCAAATTTATGTTGTTAGGCAAGGTAGTCTTTAAGTGAGTTTTACCCCACTTTTTAATGTCCTTTCTTGCCACAATTGTTAAGTGAATCACTACAGGTGTTAAGTTAGTTATTCACGGCTGTTAAGTGAATCCGGCTTCCCCATTGACTTTGCTTGTCAGAAGGTCGCAAAAGATGATCTCATGACCCCAGGACGTGGCAACCGTCGTAAATATGAATCACTTGCCAAGAGTCTGAATTTTGATCACGGGGATGCTGCAATGGTTGTAGGTGTGAAAAACGGTCATAAGTCACTTTTTTCAGTGCCACTGTAATTTGAAACGGTCACTAAATGAACTGTTGTAAGTCAAGGACTACCTGTACCTGACTAGCCTAATTAACTTTAAAGCAGTGAATGTAGTTCCATAGTGCAAGGCCAAAGAAAGATAAGCCACGTTATTAAATTGATTCTCCACAAATCCAGACACATTTTTTGCAAAATTGGCTAAAAGCCCAGCTTACATTATGAACCAAACACAGAACAGAGAGCTATCAATAAGATCTTAATCAGGAATGGAACTGAGGAAAGTCAAATGCAAAATAGTTTTAATTATCTCAGTACCTTCCAATAAAAAAAATTAGAACTCCTATCTGCCTCCTACTTCTGTAATACACTATTAGTGTATTACACTAACTCATCCAAGTTACATTGCTCTTATCCGAGGTACTTTGTCCAAATCTCAAATTCAACAGCTTTTCGTGACCAGGGGCCACATCCTACATGGATTGAGCAAAAGGTGGTAGTAAATATGGTATATTAACAGGCTGTTACTTACCCTGACCTATCCCAAAGGTGCTTTTTCAAGAGGCAACTGGGCTTTCTGGTTTTTCTTTGAAGACGTTTCACTTCTCATCCAAAATGCTTCTTCAGCTCTGACTGGATGGTGGGGAATGGAAGGATTTATACTCCTTGCAGACAGTATAAATCCTTCCATTCCCCACCATCCAATCAGAGCTGAAGAAGCTTCTTCTCATCCAAGAAGCTCATCCATGAAACGTCTTCAAAGAAAAACCAGAAAGTCCAGTTGCTTCTTGAAAAAGCACCTTTGGGACAACCGTGACCTGGATGACTGAGAATCTCCATAGACATTTATCCTGACTTAATTCACATATATTGTTATGCCAAAAACTATAGTTTTATAAGCCAGAATGTTTGGGGACTAACAACTCACCAAGCTAAAAGCAAACAAACTTTAGGACTTAGCAATCAAGAGAATCTCAAACTTTGCCATAGTGTGATCCTCTGAAATAATAAATCAGTTACTTTTAACGAGTTAGGTCTGACCCCTCCTCCCCCAAAAAACCTGGCCATGTTTCAAAAAGTTCTGAGGTCCTGGCTCTTTCTCCAGGCCCCACATTAGAGTAGGCCTCACATTTGATTGTCTTTTAATCACTGCTTTTCTTCAGGGCTTTGTGTGAGGATTTTGTTCCTATTGTTTATCTGATTTGTCCAACTGTTTTTACTGTATGCTACCCAGAATGCTTATAGAGTTGGGCAGCGTTATACAATCCATTTCTAAAATTAAAAAATAAAGAAATAAAATGCATTTCCTGAAGCAAATAATTTGGTGGTTTTTTTTAAAATAATACCAATCACCTACTTTTAATAATTATATTTTAAATTGCGTAAAAAATGAAAGTAGTTACAGAATCTTTGCACATTTTTTTTCCAGATGATTTTGTTGGCTCCACATTCCCAGCAGTATTCTTGAAAAAAACCACAGTGAGTTGTGTGGAAACAAAAGATATTTTTTTTTTTTTATTGAATTTCTATACCGCCCTACTCCCGAAGGACTCAGGGCGGTGCACAGCCATAAAATAAAACACATAGATATACAAAATTTAAAATCAAATAAAATGAATTAAATAAATTTGGCTGAATTAGTACCCATAATTTAAGATACCCATTTTTTAAAATACATTAAGAATTTAAAAATTTAAAATTTAAAATTTACACTTAAAAGGGAGAAGATTTAGGCGAGGCCAGATTGATGAAATAAAAACATCTTCAACTCGCGGCGGAAGGTGCGCAGATCCGGAATCCTCCGTATCTCTGGGGGGAGCTCATTCCAGATCGTCGGTGCCCCCACAGAGAAGGCTCTCCCCCTAGGGGCCGACAGCCGACATTGTTTGGCCGACGGCACCTGGAGGAGCCCCTCTCTGTGGGAGCGTACTGGTCGGTGGGAGGCTGTTAATGGTAGTAGGCGGTCCCGTAAGTAACCAGGTCCTAAGCCATGGAGCGCTTTAAAGGTGGTAACCAGAACCTTGAAGCGCACCCGGAAGACCACCGGGAGCCAGTGCAGCTCGCGCAGGAGAGGTGTTACATGGGAGCTCCATGTTGCTCCCATAACCACCTGCGCGGCCGCACTCTGCGCCAGTTGGAGCCTCCGGGTGCACCTCAAGGGGAGCCCCATGTAGAGAGCGTTACAATAGTCCAGACGAGAGGTGACGAGGGCATGGGTGACTGTGCGTAACGAGTCCCGATCTAGAAAGGGACGCAACTGGGACGCAACTATCTAACTTTCACCATACTTTCTTGATTCAAGCTAACGTATTAACACTTTACTTACTAGCTAATAAAACCTTTTCCATTTTGAAAGACAGGAGTCTAAAAAAATGCTGAACTTCACTATCACATAACTACAGGTCAAGCCATCAGAGATGAAGAGAAGTATTTCCAAAAATGTGAAATTCACTATGGTAGTCAGTGGATTCTCAATACCTTGTAATTGTTTGCCAATGATCAACAATTCATTGTTATGCACTGCCAAAATGAGAATTTCTCCATTTTGTATTAGAAATTTCAATTCTAAATTTTGTAAATCAAATTACAAAACCATATTGATATTTTTGATAAAACAAGTTATTTTTAACAGACAAATTTATTTATTTTTGCATAAAAATACTATGCAAAAAAAAAAAATCAAATATAATTTCAAAATAGTATTCTATAATGAAAGAATACAGTATTATTGCCATTCACAGTGTAGGAGAAGGAAAGATACAACCTGAGGGCGGAGTTAAAAGAGGAGTTAACCTAGGTTTCCTAAATAGCCACAAGCAAGCTAAATCCAACCTCCCTTGAATTCCACTGACTTTTTTTTTCAATTCCAAAGAAGTGCTAACCATTAGTTGAGAAGATTCCTATGCAAAGGCTTTTTAGCAGTAAATCAGTTTAATTGGACCTTCATGTGTGGTCTCACTCTCATCTGACACATCAGAACCCATCTCTAATAAGAAATGGAAGTAAGAAGAAAAATAAACTTGACCCAGAATATGAGATTCCTTGGCTTAGCATCTATACACTCAACAGAGAAACTGAGGTCATCCAAATGGATTTATTTTAAATAAAATTACTTTTGAAATATTTTCTACCTTCTCCTGTTAGGGCTCCAGAGACGGAGAGCCAAACCCTGATATACGCTGATTACTATTCAAATTCTTTTATCTTCTCCAAATTAAACATAAAATGACAATATTTATATCACATACAGAGTGATGATATAACATCATTGTTTTTCCATATAAAATAAGAAACAAAGATGTTACATGAAATTAAGATTGCTTCAGGAATGGCTGTGGCTTTAGCCCACTATAGTCCCATTGCTACCCAAAGAATTAAAGGGGACTACAGAATCTAGAGACCAAAATACACAAGACAAATTAAATACGGTCAACTCAAGGGAAAACTTCTCTCTTTCCTGATAACCTGATGTATGACTGACAGTTTTGCTATTTTAAGCACCATTTTCCCCATTGCCCAAAAAGTTGGTATGGACTTTGGTTTTTCTTACTTCCACAAACACACCCAAGAAACTTAATTTATGAGGGGAGCACTTCTGAAGAACTCAATAGGACTTGCTCTTTCATATCTCTCTTATGTAACATTATAGTTTTATTGTTCATAGATTTTAGGAATTAGTACTGAAGGCAACTTTTTTATCTTACTTTATCTATTGTACTTCAATCAAAGGGTATAGGAGTGTTAACACTACGCATATCATGAGGTTGGGAGTTGAATTTAACTACAGGCCACTGCTTGGGATTTTCCTCTGGCCAGATATGGTTAGAAGTCTATCTGCAGCTCCATTTGGGGGTGGGGGTTGGGGGGTTAGGCTATGGATATTCCCTCCTTCCTTTTTCTACTGAATTCTCTCTAACAATTCCCCAGTTCCCTGTATTTGTGCTGAAATGGTTACAACAGGAAGCGAATGCTGCACTTTAAAAAAAAAAAAAATCTGAACCTGCCCTACCAGATGTTGTGCAAACAAATGTGGTGGAATTTCATCCAGAGGTTATCGACATGGAGAAAGGGCACCAGTAGATCAAGAAGGCCTGTAACTCAATCTCAGAACCTGGCAACATGCCAAATTGGTGAGAGTTATATCAGGGGCACGCCTTTCTCTGTAGGTATAACTTCAGAAACATGAACACGATTAAGACAAGACACCAATGTTTTCCTATGAATGACTTCACACTGTCCTCCTTGCTGTCTCCAACTAGAAAAGGCAAAGTTGCACTGGAGACATATAGCAGGTTCAGATTTTTCAAACATCCTCATAACTGAACCTAAACAGCCAAAGTAATCCAGCTTCTACAAACAAATTCCAGCGCCTCACTTTATCAGGAACTTCCCAAATGCATTTGGAACCTAGCTCTTAAAACAATAAGGGAATTCTGGAAGTTATGGGTCTATCACGGTAGATGACTAGGCTGAGCTTGAAGGAAGAGTCAAGCAGTCATCACTCTCGAGTCCCTTCGCACCAAGAGATTTAAGTCCAGCCCACTTTGAATGCCATTAACTCTTACCTACCGTCAATTTGCTCTGACCATTAGTCGTTCAGATTCTTGTAGAGAGTATTAGCATGCCATATATATGTATTTATTTCCACTGCCTTCACTCTTGTGCTTGACAATCATGTTAGAACCAGAGGAAACCAGAAGTGGGAAAGGCTGCTGTATGGGAATGGGGTTGCAGATGGTGTCAGGACATGTTTTTTGCTGATGCAGAAAATGTAACCCTCATTTGGTCCCCAATTTGTATTCTAATGCTTTTTCTCCGAGATAAATATGACAGTATTTACACCATACACACACAGAGGTATCACTGTTTTTCCGTATACAGTGAGAAATTAATGAAATTTAATGAAATTAAGAATGCTCTGGGTGATGGCTCTGGCCTTCAAGCCACTATAGAGATAATCCTTGTTTAGCCATTACAACTGGGACCAGCAACTGAGTCATTAAGTGAAGTGATTGCTAAGTGAAACTATGAGTGTGCTTACAATCTTATCTCAGCTTTCCTTTGCTTAGAGACCTGCAAAGGTTGTAAATGTGAGGATTGATCACAAAATTACTTTTTCATTGTTGTCCTAACTGTGAATGATTACAGTAGAGATAGAAGTTGACTTACAAACACTCGTTTAGCGACTGTTTGGAGTTACAACGGATCCCAAAATGGGACTTATGACCTGGATTTGAAGTTCTGATGGCCATCCCCCCCATGGTCACGTGACCACATTTGGGGTGCTAGACAACTGGCCTGCTTTTATAGCCATTTGTAGCATCCTGCAGTCACATGACCACAATTTACAATGAGTGCCTTACTTCCAGTCTCAAGCAAAAAAACACTCATTGCAGACAAGGGGTTTGTTTACTGACTATAGCATTCTCTTCATGATTTGCTTAACTAACATGGTGATCTGCTTAACAACTGCCGCAAAAAGTGTCATAAAATTGGGTCGGTCAAATGATGACCAGCATGACTTATGACCATAATTCTGGGCTCAATTATAGTTATAAGTTAAGGAAAACCTGTACAAGGTAATATTAAACAAGGAATACCTGTGTTATCACTTCTACCCAAAGAGTTAAAGATGATTGCAGCACATAAAAATTAAATATGGTGAACTCAAAGAAAAATCTCTCTCCTTTCTCATGTCCAATGTTTGATTGACAGCTTTGCTATTTAATCATTATTCTTCCCATCATCCAAAGGAATGTGGTTCTACCTTATGTAATACATAGGCTAAAACACATAGTCCAAAGAATCTTATTATACCAAAGAAGAATCACCTGGAGATGAGAGGTGTAGATTTGGATAACACAGAGGACAATGTCAACTACATCAAGGCCCAAAGCACTTACCGGTTGCAGTCTGGGCCAGCTTCTCCTTAGTTTTGAGGGCGTGGACCCTCTCTTCTTTGAGACGCTCATCGTCTTTAAGGAGGGCCACCAGCTGCTTGGCCTTCTCCCGCACGTTGACCCCTTGATCTTTGCCATCCCGGTCAACGTACTGAAAATCCTTTAATGTTTGGATGGCGTAAATGTTTTCTTTACACTGCTGTGCGACCCGCTCTGAACCTGTCTTTATTAGGTATTCCATAAGTGTCATTGCCTGGAAGAGATGTAAGAAGAAAAGAACTCATGACATGCTTAGAAGATAAAAGGTGAAAATGAGAATCTGAGAAATTTTGGCCCTGGGAAGCAGAATTATGGGAATGCCAAGGTTCAAGTCAAGAAAATAACTTTTCATACAGGAGACAGTTAATAGGTGGAATTCACCATCTAAATGTCTTGGGTAGCTTTATATTTTTGGAGCAGAGGCCCAGGTTGAACTGGATGCGAATCTGCAGGTTCTCTATCAAAGAAAAGGGGAAGGGTTGCCAGTATTTATGTGAATTAATGATTCAATGGTAAAAATGTGGGGCCAGGCCAGGATGAATTTCATTAGTAACCTTGAACTGGTTGCTTTTTCTTTTTCAGCCATTCCTACTCCACATGGTAATTACTGTAGGTGATAAAAAACAGTGATCCAGTGATCAAAAGGCCATCATACTGACATCATTGTTTGTGGAAAAAATGACTTTAGGGAACCAAAACAGCATATGGTAAGGATTGTCGTGATAAAAAGGCAGACTGAGATAAGCACAGACTCAGCATCCTTTCCGTATTTCTGGAAGATACCTGCACTGCATTTTAGAAAACATGGACTTACAGAGGAATAATAAACAAATGATGCATCCAGATGGGAAGCAGATCCAACAAATATCAGAAAGCTAATTGCAATTCTTTGATTTGTTGTCAATAACCACCGCTTTCTCTATAATATATCTGTAAACAGCAAGGTCGCCCACAATTCAAGTAGCAGGGAACGAAGGGGGAAATATGAAGCATCTGGGCAAGCTGTACACCTCTAAATGTTGCAGGTCTACTTCTCCCATTATTTTACCCATGATGGCTAATGTTTCAGAAAATTGTAGCTCAAATCACCAGCTTCCCCATTCTTTGTACAAAACAGCATTCTTCAATACTACATTTCCCATCATGGTCACTGCTATTTAGAATCCATCAACATCTAGGGCAGTGATGGCTAACCTTTTTGCCATCACATGCCAAAAGTGTAGGAGCGTGTGTGTGTCATACGTGCACGTGCTCATACCCATAAATGCCCCCCCACGCATGTGCATGTGACCCCCCCGCGCGACCCCCACTTTTGGCACATGATGACACGATAGGCCCAGTAGGCCCGTTTTTCGCTCTCCCCAGGCTCCAGAGGCTTTCTAGGAGCCTGGGGAAGGCGAAAACGGCCTTCCCCACCCCCCCAGAGGCCCCCCAGAGGCCAGAAACAGCCTGTTTCCCAACCTCTGGTGGGCCCGGAAGGCCTGAAAATCAGCTAGCCGGCGCTCACATGCATGTTGCAGCTGAGATAGGGCAACGCTTGCGTGCCCACCAATATGGCTCCATGTGCCATCTGTGGCACATGTGCCATAGGTTTGCCATCACAGATCTAGGGGTTAAATGGTTGCCTATCCCCAACTAATGAAAATCATGGTATGCTCCACTTAGCATAAGACATTCAACTTTGACTGAAAATAGCTCACAAAGCTTTACTCGGCAATATTTTTTACTTGGCCTTTCTAACCAAATGTGCTGCATATATTTAAATAAATAAATAATTAATTAATTAAAAATCAAAGAACACCCCCCCCCAAAAAAAACCTCTCTCCAAATTCAGTCCTGTACAGGTAGCCCTCAGGCAGTCACTTAGCAACCATTCGATGTTAGGACAGGACCACCCCCCCAAAGATACTTATGACCCAAATGCAAAGTTCCAATGGTCAAGAGCCCTTCCTAGTTCCATGATTGCATTGGCAACCAACCCACATTTAGCAACTTGCAATGTCCCGTGATCACAACTGGTTTCCGGCAAAAATGGCCGCTTGAACAACGGGTTCGCTTAATGACCGGCACAAAAAAAGGTTGTAAAATCAAGTGTAGTCATATGATGACCCATTTAAATGATAGGCATGAGTTGCAACCATCAAATCCATGCTTAATTGCGATCATAAGTTGAGGACTACCTGCATGATGGAATCCCTTCATTTTAAAGCTTCACCGCCTCTCAGCCCCGGGCTACCAAAAGCCCTAGTTCAGAAGCTTTCTAGGGTTTCAGACCTTTCCAGTCTTTCCTGAAGATGTCATGGCCTGAATTTGGGATCAGGTGGATGAGAAGTTGTTTCTCTACCACTGACCAACAGCCCTTCCATTCGCACGCTTGAGAATTAATCTGCATTTGGGAATGAATTAACATATTTGGACTTTTTGGATAAAGCATGCAGGTGGCAACGCACATATCCATTCTTCTGAATACTGTGTTGCGTGTGTTCAAAGAAGCATGCGTTCTGTGATAAAATACACATCATAATACATATGAATAACTTTTCTACTTTCTTAATGAGGCCTCTGTGGAACAGGGTGGGAATGGAATGAAACAGATTTAACAGTGAATAGCTATGGAAAAGCAAAACAGGATGATGATGGCACCATTAGCAGAGATGTACCGTATTTTTCGTAGTATAAGATGTCCCTTTTTTCCCCCTAAAAGGGGGTAAAAATTTAGGTGTGTCTTATACACTGAATGTAGCCCCGCCTACCCACTGGCCCCCACCCTTTGGCCTCTGCCTCGCAGCAGTTACCTCCTTGCAAGCAAACAGCAAGAAAAAACAACTCCTTTCAGCTTCAGAACAGCTTAATTAGCACAAGTTGATTGGATCGCCTCCCGACTCTCAGCTGATTTGCTCTCAGCTGTTTTGCGTGGGGCGCTGCTTGCTGCAAAGAGGTAAATTGCTGGAGCAGATTTTTTTTTTCCCTTGTGCTAATCAAGCTAAGCTGAAAACGAAAACGAAAATAAAGCAGGCTGTTTGCTGTTTGCTGCAATGAGGCAAAATTGCTCAGAGGCAGAGGGAGATTTCTTTTTCTTCTTTTCCTCACCAAAAAAGGTAGGTGCCTCTTATATTCAGGTGAGTCTTATACTCTGAAAAATACGGTATATATTTCCAAGAACAAGAGACGGTGCATGCTTACCTTGTAGACATGACGCCAATTTTTCCCATGATCGTTGAGACGTTTCCAGATCATGCTCATGATTTCTGAGAAGGCTACCACATTGTAGGTGAGATCGGCAATTTCAGACATGAGAGAACTAGATGGGCCCCAAGGGTCATTTGATGTAGCCTCACGAACCTTGATTTCGGCTTCAGAGTAATTATGTACAATATTCTTCATCTGGCGGCGCAGTGAAGACGTCGACATGGTGATATTAGGGGAGTGAAGGATGGGGGAGAGCCAATTTGTACTGTGCTCCAAACTTCCTGTGGATGGCTTCGAAATAAGCCAGGCTAATGGTAGCCAAAAGGGCTCTCCGGGTTAAAGCAAATGAAGTTTTTTGACCAATTGCTTAAGACAGTGAATCCTGCATATCCAGTCTGAATGGAACCTAGTTTGCTTCACAAGAGGCCGGCTACAACTTTTGCTCCTGTGCCACTTGCCTAAAGTCCCTAGCTGGTCATGCACTCTATGAGCACCCATCTGGGCGTCGCAGCCATTCCGAGATACGGCTGAAAAAGAAAGAGAGAAAAACTTTTAACACTGATTTATTTAAATTGCTATCCCATTTTAATTACTATATAAGTAACTCAAGGCAGTGAACATGCATAATAGTCCTCCCTCCCTCTTCGCCTCCCCCCCCCCAACAACTCTGTGAAGTAGGCTGGACTGAGAGAGAGTGAGTGGCTGTGCTGCCCCCCAATCACCCACATGTCAGGGTTGGTGTAGAGAGCTTTATTCAGTCTATTCCCCCAACAGTTCTATTTCAGGTTTTTAGTTAACCTCCAGCTGCAAGCTTAGCACAGTAATTGGCTCGCGACCAAGTATATAACCAAAAGCAAAACTAACTTACAGCCAAACCTAAAAAAGACTTGGAAATAAAGGCTTTGCTTGGGTAGGTACCAAAAATAAACAGCCCAAATCCCCTCTGAGGTCTGGGGCCTCCACTGAGGTTTGTCAACAAGTCCGGTGGTCTGGTTTCAGGGCTTTCAAGGAGAAGTCATAGGAATTGTCCAGGAGTTCAGGGACCCGTTTTCAGCAAAGCCAGCCACGAACGAGCTCCAGGCTAACCTTCCGGGCAATGGTCAATTAGTCCACTCGACAGATAACCGGCTGTTCCAAACACAAATATAAATGTGCTCCGCAACTGAATTAAATACACTAGATGAAGAGTTCCGGAGACACAAACAACCATCTAGCCACGATCAACACAGGTTGCTTCTAGCAATGCCTCCCTCTGCCTTCCGTGCTAAATAGCTCCTCCTGTGTGCAGCCCATGAAGAGGGGCGGGGCCTTTTCTCCATCAATCTGTCAGATCGCCGCCTCTCTGCCCTGTGTGCTCTAATATCCACCAAGGTTGGTAGTTCCCCCCCTCTTCTTCATTGGCATGGTAGCTCTCCCCCTCTTCCTCATTGGCATGGTAGCTCTCCCCAGACAAGACATGTTCTGCCGGCAGTTCAGGGTCAGCACTATCGGATGTTCCAGGAATGCTCTCATCAGGGTGGATTTGAGTTAAATCAAGTTGATTTAAATAATAATTATTAAAGAGCAACTGTCATCTCTGTCCCACAGCAGCTCCTCCTCTGAACTGCTGTTGACTCACCAACAGTCCCAATATTGCAGAATATACAGCCTCATGCTATATAACTAAGCTCCATGTCATGCTGAATAAACTAAATTATTAATGTACCTTAAATAGAAAACTACCTTTAGATAAATTTTTACTCCAAAACCATTTTATTAGAATAAATTTGATAAAAATCAAAAAGATCCAATTTAAATTTTAAAAATCCGATTTTTTTTATTTTGTTTTTTTTTAATCATTGATTTTTATTCCCCCTTGCTCTCATATACCCTCAAGGCCTCTGAGGAAGATGTGGAGGAGCCGTCACTCACATCAGATATCATAGTGGCCTAAAGTCATCCAGTTGGGTTTTGTGCCTTAGGTGAAACTAGAACTCACAATCTCCTGGTTTCCAGGCAAGCACCTTCACCACAACACCGAGCCTGGAATGAAGGACATCGTCCCTGTTCCCATTCTTGGTTTGCATGAATCCAAAAATCAAGTCCCACAAAATTATCCATATTCTGGATTAAAGGCCCTTACTTTAGGACTTTAAGAATTTGGTCAAACCAAAAGTTCTCTCCCAAGCCAGGTTTAAGTCTTCAAGAGAAGCGCATCAAGAGATGTGAAAAAAAGCAGAGATGCTTCAAAAATTTGTCATATTGATAACCAGGAGAAAGAAAAGGAAAAAAAATATTATACATAGCTCTTTATCAGAGTAGCTTTAAAAGCAAGTAAAATTAAAAGCGCAGCATGGCACTTTAGATGCTGCATTTTTCATTTCTGTTGTTTAGCCACTTTAAAAGCAGATTGGATCAAGGCTTGTAATTCTGAAAGACTCAATGTTTTCTCTGGCTTACAGGTAGCAGCTTCGAAACAAAAGTTGCAGCTGAACAACAGAAGATGATTTTCTTATTCAGGATCAGAACAAAAGTCGATCTGGCTTGTATTTTATCAGTGGCAACTGGCAAAGGAGATATTTTGAGACATGAGCAGAGATAGGGACACAGCCCACCCTGCCAAATACCTTCTTACTTGTCCATCCTTGCCAAATTTAAAGATTTGAGGACTTCAGTTCCCAGAATTCCCCAGCCAGCCATGCTGCATTTGCTGCTTTCTCAAGGGAAACTGGCTAGTTCTACATCTCTCAGGAAATGTAAGATTTGGAAACGTTGGGGTGTGGGAGGGGTGGGACGGAGGGAGAAAAATCATACAATCAAGCTATCCATTTCTTCCCCCATTTACTTTTTATCCAATGCAGCGTCGCCTTTTTCCAGCCAGGTTTCTTTGGTCAAAACACTAGCAGACATCTCAGTTAAGGTTGAATTTTGGCAGCATTTACTTGCATCTGTCTGCAGGATCAAGATCCAAAACCTCATACATGATTTATTTTAAAGCTGCTTTTCCTCAAAACAGTTCACAGAGGCACAGAATCCACCTTACTTATATTTTTGCAATGACCTCATGAAGTAGGCTTCAAAACGTGTTATGAAAGGCCTAAGATAATTGTACAGCTAGTCCTCGACTTACGATAATTGAGTAAAAAAAAAAGTATGTTACTAAACTGTGGTCGTAAATTGAGGACTACCTGTACAATTATCTTAGGCCTTTTATAACATGTTTTGAAGCCTACTTCATCAGGTCATTGTAAAAATATAAGTAAGGTAGATTCTGTGCCTCCATGAGGAAAAGCAGCTGTAAAATGAGACATTTCTTAAGGGAATTTTACTCCATTTTACAACCTTTCCTGCCACTGTTGCTAAGTGAATCACTGCAGTTGTTAAGTTAGTGACATGGTTGTTAAGAGAATCTGCCTTCCCCGCTGACTTTGCTTGTCAGAGGTTTGCAAAAGGAGATCACAATACCTAGGGACATTGCAACTGTCATAATTAGCATCTGAATTTTGATTCCGTGACCTCGGGGATATTGCATTGGTCATAAGTGTGAAAAACAGTCATGTCACTTTTTCAGTGCCATTGTAACTTCGGTCACTGAAATCGGTGCTACCTGTATTAAAGTCTGCAACTGAGCAAGGAACTAAACTGGAATCTCCACAACTGAGATTTATGAAGCCCCGGGAAAAAAAGTTTGGGTAAAAAAAAAAATATAGAGGAAAGACAAAAATGAGAAAACAAGTTTTAAGCCTTCATTCCAGAATAAAATGCTTTAGCCACGATGAAAGAACGTTTACCCAAACAGACAGAATTTCTTATATTATTTACTAATTTCACCTCTTACCCCCTTGCCCCACCCCCATGTAGAAGACCGGAACATCTCCCCCCACACCTCCCCCAGTCAAGTAACCTTAGCAATTACAGTGGATCTGAATTTATCAGAATTGCTTCTAGGACAATTCAGGCAGGAGACGAAAATTCCCAAGAGTATATGGGTGGGTGGAATAGAAGGGAGGCAAGAGCAACGGAAAGCGGAAATTGTGCAGATGGCAACATCTGACCCCAAATTCTCCTTAACTTCCTGGAAGCCCCTGCCCTACTTAAGCCTCAACATTCTTAAACCTCAAAAGGAAGGAAGCCCACATTTCTAAGGAATGAGTCACAGTGGCTCATTCTTCCTCTTTCTGCCCCTTTCCGTTTTGTTCAATTCAGTTTCCAGCTCTAAAATTTCAAGTCACCAACCAATAACCTGAAGATGATTCAAGAGAAGCGAAAGTGACCGAAAGCCCTAGTGTACAACAAAGACACTGAGCTCAAATAAATAGAAGCATTGATTTCAGGCACACTTTTCTAAATTTCTATGTTTGAAAAGTTCTAATTTAATAAGGCTAAGAAGGTATAAAATAGACGGCAAGACCATTTTAAGAATATTATTGTCCATCCTGCTCAGAGCTATCTAAAGCACATTGAGACATTTTTTTTTTTAAAGAAAAAAAAATCTAAAACAAGTTCAACGTCCATCAGTTTTGGAAAAGAGCAAAATTGAACAGCTTCTCCACCAACCTAAAGATCTCTAGGCTTCTCCCAAAATTCTCAGTTAGCATTTTCTTTTGGAAATTGCAGTCCCAAGTTTGATAACTTGGAACAACTGATAACAGGAATATCTGCTCAGCGCTGTTCACGATGCCCTTGATGTGATGTCTCGCTGCCTGGAGGCCGTGCGGGTCTGGATGGGGAGGAACAGGCTCAGATCAACCCGTCCAAGACCGAATGGCTGTGGCTGCCGGCGTCCCGATATAGTCAGCAGGTGCCATCGCTAACTATTGGGGGTGAATCTTTGCCCCCCACAGAGAGGGCTCACAATCTGGGTGTCCTCCTGGATGCACGGCTGTCTTTAGAAGAGCACATGACGGCCGTGGCCAGGGGGGCCTTTTATCAGGTTCGCCTGATCCGCCAGTTGCAGCCCTTTCTGGACCGCACGGTCACTCATGCCCTTGTCACCTCCCGCCTGGACTATTATAATGCTCTCTACATGGGGCTCCCCTTGAAGAGCACTCGGAGGCTCCAACTGGTCCAGAATGCGGCCGCGCGGGTGGTTATGGGCGCAACCCGTTGTGCCCGCGTGACACCCCTCCTGCGCGAGCTGCACTGGCTCCCAGTGGTCTTCCGGGTGCGATTCAAGGTGTTGGTTACCACCTTTAAAGCGCTCCATGGCATAGGACCCGGGTACCTTCGAGGCCGTCTTCTGCCCCCAATAGCCTCCCACCGACCAGTCCGCTCCCACAGAGAGGGTCTCCTCAGGGTGCCATCAGCCAAGTTATGTCGGCTGGCGACACCCAGGGGGAGGGCCTTCTCTGTGGGAGCCCCAGCCCTGTGGAATGAACTGCCCCCGGAAATACGTAAGATCTCCGACCTCCGGGTGTTTCGTTGCGCATTGAAGACCCTGTTGTTCCGCCAGGCCGGGCTATCAACATAATAATTTTAATTGGGGTATTTTAAATTTTTGTGGTTTTAATCTGGCCAAATTTATTTAATTATTTTAATTTTAATCATT